GGAAACGGCGCTGCCGGCTGAAAGAAGGCGCTCCCTGCACCGTAACCCCGGTGAGCCGGCAGAGGCCTGCCGGCTGGGCTCCAGGAACACGCTGGGGGGAGAGCCCCGCCCGGGTTCAGGCCTTCCCCACAGTAACACTGGGCATCGTAATGCGCTCCCCTGCGGGCCGCATCGAGCACTGGTGCCCCTCTCCGCGCTCCTGGAAGGCAGGGTGACAAGGGGAAGGTGGCTCGGCCTCGGGATCTCCTTCTGTGGTTGCCGTTCTGAGCTGAACCCCGTTTTTATGCTACCGGCCGACGCTGTGCGGGCCCCTGCAGCCCCCTTCCCAAGCCGCCCCCCCGCAGCCCCGCCCGTCACATCAGCCGCACTCCGCTCATCCTCTCCCCTCCTGCTCCGCTGGGTTAAGAGCTCGCTCGCTTGCTCGCTCTTCGTGTGCCATCAGTGGCGAAGCCAGGCCCGCTGGGGAGCGAACGGCTGCTGGGCAGAGTCTGGCAAGAGGCTCTCGCATGCCGTCACAAAGCCGAGCAGCGGCACCTGAGTGGCGGGGTACCCTCTGCGCCTCCTTCCCTCAGGCCCCCTCCTTCCCTCCCCTTAGCTGCCCAAGCGATCTAGGGAAAACCTTGAGGGCTTCCAAAGCCACAGCGGAACCACCGCTAGCCGCATCCCCATCCCCTCCGGCTGCCCGGATCTCCCCCGTGGAAACCCGCCAGCCCAGCCAGCCACGGCCTCGTGCAGGTGCACGGGCGGCACACGAGCCGCCCACGCACGGACGGGCCCGGTGAAATGGGGGCCACGGAGCGGCAGGCGGGGCAAGCGGAAGAGCCAAGAGGAAGAGGGAGGCGAGAGACCGCTGGGCACCGCGAGGCCCCGTGGAAGGAGCCGGCCCTTTCACGGAAGCCGCTCAACACTTTCTGGTGATCTCTCCTCATCACTACGGAGCGGTGTCACAAGCTCATCTGAATGGATGCACGACAGGCCCGGAGGAGATGCTCCCCGACATCGCAAACAGCAATCGGCTGATTAAACTCAACATGAGTCGCCCACCCCTGCAGGACAGCTGCCTGGTGACCAACGTCTCCTCCCGCATCAACCCGACCTAAGCTTGGCGTTACGAGCCACGGGGAAGGCCTTCCTCTAACGTTCCAACCATGGCGAAAATCTCCCCATTTTCTACAAAAGAGCAGGGCCTCCTCTGTGGTGGCACCTGATGCCCACGGGTGGTAGGTACTCTTCGTGTGAGCACGTTGAAACCTTTTCATTTGATCAGGCAGGGCAGTTACATTTCACTTTGATTTTTGACTGAAACAGCTTTTACAGCTTTCCATTTCATTTTAAGTTATTTTTAAGACACGCATTTTTACAGTAAAACTAGTTTTTATAGTAACTAGTACCCGAATGTTATTCTGAAATTCTCTTTTGGATTGAGGGGTGGTCTACATATTTTAGAAATAAGTTAATAAAACTTGCACAAAGTTTGGCCAATCTTTAAGTGGAGATCCTGTGGAAAAATAAAAGGAAAGCCCCTTCTCTCTCTCTAAGAAACCTCAAAACTGGCAGAAGTAGCGGGAGGAGGATACTGAAGGAACAACCAAGCACACTGCAGTTCCTATTGCAATTCTTACTTTCTACTGCGTTTTGAAGACACACAAAACCCTGGGCAACCTGCGTGATTAATTCCCTTGACACGCTCCGAGGTCACCGCCATCCGTCGGGACCATCCCAGACTGTGCCAGCGATTCAGGGAAAGAAGGTTGCTAATAGGGCATTTCCTAAATAGGCTTCCGCTTCAGCTTTTAATTAGTTTTGTTCATTTGCTGTATTTGATAGGGCGGCTAACTACTGGGGTACTGGAGCAAAAGAGGTTGAGTGGAATAAAGCCACCCAGCAAAACCGCTCGCTGTTTCCAGAATCCCCAGTCGGAGTGCTCATCACGCTTGACGAGAGGGGGCAGGCAGGGGCACAGACCACCCCGCCGGTTATCCAGAAAGGGCACACCTGGCAGCGCTCCTCTTCCGCCCGTATGCCACAGACACGCTGTCCTGCCAGAACGGCCTCCTCATCTCGGCGTGGTGTGCCCGGTGCCTCCTTGCCAGGGCAAGAGCTTCCTGCTGCTTGCCCACCTCTGTAAGACCCCTCCTTCTTTCTGGTCCCTGGAGGCCTGCAACATCTTGCCAGAAACGCAAGCTCAGCCCCAGCCTAGCAGCCCAGGAGAATATCTGCATGCAAACCATCCCGGCCCAGCAATATATTAATATTGATATCTGAGCCGAGCAATGGGATTGGCACCCGTGTTGTCCGGGGAAGGGGAGAGCAACACGCCCCCTGCTTCGAGAAGCCAGGGCAATGCGTCCCACCTCCCAAATGCTCCTTGCCACGAAGAGCAGCTGTTGGCAAACACGAGGGTTTAACGCCGCTCGCCTTTAAGGTGCTTCAGAAAATGATGTGCTGTTTCATTCATGCTCGAGAGCTTCTGGGAAAAGGCTTGACAAGCATCTCTGGAGGCAAAGCCCCGGCACCAGCGCTGAGGTGGAGCCGAGATTCAAAGCGCACCTGGAGCCGAGCGCACTCTGCCCTGGGACTAATGCGCACGCGTCCTGCGTCACCTCAGGACACCTCACCTCACTGCCAACAGGACTGTAGCGCCTCTGAAAACTCGGAGCCCCCAAAGTGCACGTTGACCCCTTGACGCGTCGCCTCCCGACCGCGGCCAGATTCGGAGAGGAGAAGCAGCTCGCTTACCAAAAACTTGCAAATGAACAGCCTAGACTGAAATCACGGAAGGCCGGGATGGAGGCGTGTCACAGAATAACAGAGGGCCGTAACGGGGCCCAGGAGGCCAGGGGGTCCAACCCTGCCCAGACAGCTACACCCGAAGCGGGCACGTCACGTCACCTTTGCTAAGCTGGAAAGGCACGGGCCTGCCGCTGGACGGGAGCCCACAAGCGGAACTGGGGACCCTCGGTGCCTTATAGGGCGCCAACGCTACTGCTCTCCCGTGATTCTGTACCAGCATCCGTCCACACGCAGCTAAGGAAGCAGGCCAGCTTACGCCAAAGAAACCTGCTAGTCTTTGCTTTATAAGAGCAAAACGGCTGTGCGGCGCCAGCTGCGAGGGTGTCCGATAAAAGAGCGCTGTCATCTAGAATTGACCGCAGATGATTTAAAAGATAACGCATTTATGAACACTTTGGGGAAAAGGCCTCCATGGTACGGTGGGGTCTCTTTACTGCCACACCAGCGTCGCTGCAACATCCAAACCTGAGCCAGAACCAATGCAGGATGATACGGACGGATCTCACTGCTGAGCTGGCATTCAAGGTTTGCAGGCATGTGGCCACCCTGATGCCGCCAAGCAGGAAATACAATTTTTGGCCCCATCAGGGCTGCTTTGTCCCAGAGCAGAGCACACGGTAGCAATGATTCAAGAATCCGGGACTGTCGGACCCTGCAGCTATGTCGTTTGGATGCGATACTGACAACAGGAAAGGATGTAAACATATCCATTCGATGTTCGCTCAAGATTTAATGTCAGCAGTCCAACTATTAAAAGCCACCACATGGAAGCATAGCAAGGTACCCTGTGTTAACAGTTGGTTCCTGAAGGTACCGGGAGAAGGATAAAGTTAACGGAATCTGTACAAAGAAGAGGTGGGCAAAAGCAGGTGGTATTTTTCTTTTCTTTTTTAAAGAGTTCATGAGGGGGAAATGCATGTTGGTTCTGTTAAATGTAGAACTAAGTGGCAGCGGTATTTAAAATTAAATGAAGGGTTAAAATAAGATTAAATTTATGGACTGATAGGAATTAAACATTTATTGTATTTTAAAGTATTATGTATCATGTTACTACTTGTAGATACTGGAATACGTACCAATCTTATAAACATTGCTGGTGTTCAAAAAATTACCAAGATATATTTTATAACATGCTTTTTGAAAACTGAAAAAACTTATTCCTTGAGGTTCCACAATAATTTGCTGCTTCAGCTACAATAGACTAATATGGCTAACCCTCTGGAAATAGCCAGAAGCGTGGCTTCTAGATCGAGAGAGGTATTACTACCACTCTACACGACTCTGGTGCGCCCACAACTGGAGTCTAGTGCTCAGTTCTGGGCCCCTCATTGCAGGAAGGATCTAGCCAGGTCAGAGTCAGTGCAGCGAAGGGCCACAAGGTTGGTGACTGGTTTGCAGGGGATGGGGAACGAGGCGAGACTGAGGGAACTGGGCTTCTTCAGCCTGGAGGAGACTCAGAGGGGATCAGTTGGCGACATACAGGTATGTGAGGGGGTGTCACACGGAGGTGGGGAGAGACCTGTTCTCCCCTGCAGAGGAAGGCAGGACGTGCTCCAACGGAGCAAAGCTCAGGAAACCCAGGTTCCATTTGGATGCCAGGAAGCACTTCCTGACAGTCAGGACCCTGAGGGTGTGGAATGGGCTTCCCCGGGAGGTCGTTGAGGCCCCATCAAGTGAGGGTGTTCAAAGATAGGCTGGACATGCACGTGTTACGCACATTGGGAGCGGAGCCGGCTGGAGCTGGGGGTCAGACTAGATGGCCCAGGAGACCCCTTCTGGCTCGCTCTGTTTCTCTGTTTCTAAATGGAGCCCTTTGGATGTGATCTTCCCCTCCCACCAGGGACACTGCAGGAGGCTGTGAACGTCGTGTGCCCGGGAAAGGCGAATGACATTCTCTGGCCCACCACTGGGTTGCCTGAGAATATGCAGACCTCACAGACTGGGGCTTTGGCATGTGGCGCAGCCCCCCCCCCCCCAGGGGTTCCTTCTGGCCCACTTCTTTCCCGGGTTTTGCCCTTGTGGGTTATACACCGCATCAGCCCTACTCCGAGTCGACCCATTGCACGAACGGGGCTGAAGTCAGAATAATGCTGGATACAGCGCAGCGCCACGAGTGCCGGGGGAAAACCGCAAGAGCGAAAACCCGCCCCGAGCATCGCCGCCCCCGCCCCGCCCCCCAAGCGACGAGGAAGCTCTCCGGCCCTTACCTGGCTGTGCAGGGTGAGGAGGGGGCATCTGGTGGTGCATCATGGAGTAGGGAGGGGGCTGCTGGTGGGACATCAAGCCCGGGTGGCCGCCCGCCCCGAGGGGGTTCATGCCGGGGCCGCCGGAGTGCTGGTGGGGCTGCGGGGCGCTTGGCACGTGCTGCTGCTGCTGCTCCAGCTGCTGGCGGGCGCGCAGCTCCGCGTACTTCAGCTGCTCCATGTGGAAGTTCTGGCGCTCCGTCAGCAGCTGCTGCCTCTGCTGCTCCAGCTACGGAAAGAGGAACGAGGCCCCGTCGTGAGCACGCGCGGAAGCTGCCGCAGCGCTTCTGCACCGCCCCACGAACTAAGGCCGGTAAATACCACGGGATTTTCCTATCCAGCCCCTGCGAGGGGACTGCAAGGCTGGGGGGCAAGCCACTGAAGTCCAGACAGGGCCCGATACCGGGGGGCCCACATCACAGGGGGCTGAAAGACCCTTCCTCCCGTGACGAGAGCAATGGAACCAGCGGCCCTTGGCCCGCCGTGACGAACAAGGCCGGGGAGGCAGGCGGGCCCCTCGGGGACCTTTACGCCGCGTGGGTCAGGCTTCGTAACCTAAGCTGGTGCACTGCACCTGCAACATAAAAGAGCAAATTCTGTGCGCGGCAACGGGGGCAGCCCAGCCGGTCACGCCCAAATCACAAAGGAGACGCAAATCTGCACCAGTCGGCTTGGTTGCTGGGCTTTAAATAGTTGCAGTCCCACCACCACCATCTTCCAAAAGGGTAACAGACGCAAGCAGGGGGTCTAGGGCAGCGTGTCCGACGGAAAAAAAAAGCTCAGGCACTCTCAGCCTTTTCTCTTTGTGAAAGGAGAAGGCACGGGCGCACCAGCCCAAGATCTGAGGGCCTCCAATGATGCGTGAAAGGCTCCGAATTCCGCCCACGCACAATTAAGTCCCCAGTATCACCGCTGCATTTCCACCCTGCTAGTCTTCCTCTTGCAAGAGGCCCAAGGCGGCCTGCAAGACTCTCCTCCTCTCCGTGCCGCCCGCGCGACCGCCACCCTGCGAGGCGGGAGAGGCTGCGCAGGACTGGCACGACCACAGCCACCCGGCGAGCCCCGTAGCCAAGCAGCCGCCAGGGCCCGGGCCTTGCCGAGGCCCAACCCACCACCCTGCCGGCACGCCACGCCGGGTGCAGAGGCGCCGGCCAGGCCCAGCCCACGGAGCTCGCACACAGGGTGCCCGCTGGACCTGGCTCCCGCTCCGGCGCGCCGGGCGGCCGTATACCAGCCAGCCTTCCGGACCCCCCAGCCCAACAGGAAGCATGGATGCAGCACAGCAGAGGCTGGTAATGCGCCACACCTGTTCGGAGGATGAAGGGAGAAACCTCCCACATCCCTGCCAGGGGTGCATTAATGCGCTGCCACAGTTTCTGGATTAACAAGGCTCCTGTTTGCGCAGTCTTGACTTGAGCACAATTAGGGCTGACGGTACGGAAACGGCTTCAGTTTACGCACTAAATCATGTTGATACGCAAACCTGCCACCTTCTGCGGCCCCCCGTTCCCTGGCAGGGAGGGGGCCGCGGCTGTCGTTGTGGCACGAAATGGCTCAGGCGACGCACAGCAGAAAACAGAAGCGGCATTTTTGGCCACCGGGAGTGTTTTGGAGGGAAATTTGCGAATGCCTCTCCAAGGAAACGGATTTGCCTTTAAGGAGGGAGCATCAAAGGCCAGGCCAGGCGAGGCGGCGGCTGCAGAGCACCCCCCAAGACGCGGGAGGCCGGGGAGAGCTCCCCCTTAGCAACAGCACGGGGTCTTGTCTGCCCGCAGGCGGGGGGGGGGGCAGCAGAGCGAGGGCGAAATTCAGGGAAGCAAGCCGCAAACTCCAGCTGGCGTGCGGCGATCGTCGCAGGACTGGGGAACGTGGGCCACGGGAAGAGGTGGGCTCCGTTCGACCCCCCGGAAGCCACTCCGGCTCCGCACGCTGGTGGCTCGCCTCCCCAAGCACCGCCTGGCCCTTCCGAGGGCAGCTCCTCACCGCCACGGGCGCTCCCCGCGTGCTCATGTGGCACGGTGCTGCCTCGGCGAGGGGGCGGCGATGCGCAAGGCGTCTGGCCGGCAGCTTTCCTGGCTTGGGTCCCCAGCCCCCGGCCAACTTCCTCTCGGGGCCGGGGCCGCTGCGCACCAAGCGTCTGGACGGGGGCCTGCGGGAGGGGAGGCCGCGAGTCCCGCCAGCACACGCACCGCCCGCGTCCTGCCCCGCACGCAGAGTCCCGCTTCAACACATGGGGCTTGCGTACTCTGCGCGAAGGGCCCGCCGGCGTGCCTGGGCGCCTGCGGACCGGCTTCTGGCTCGGCCCGGCCCCTGGCCAGGGCCCGTGTGGGAGAGGGGCCCGTGGGCGCGAGGGGGCCGGACTGCCCCATCGCTACTGCAGCTCCACTGAGCTCCCCGGCTCGCTGGGGGCTTCCCAAGGCGGGGGTGCTCCTCCACCTGCGGCCCAGGGTCCCCGCCCCGCTTCGACCGCCCCAGCCCAGGAGCAGGCGCGTGCCCTCCCTCGTGATCCGTGGGGGCAGGCCCCAAGCTCTTCCTTGTCCCCACACGGCTGGCCATTTCCGCCCTGGTGGCTGGCGGGGATCTGCGGTGGGCAAGCAGCGGCAGCAGGGGGAGGAATGGCGTGGGTCCCGATGGGCGAGGGCAGGCATGCCGAGAGGCGCGGGCTGGGAGGCGTTCCTCTCCCCACTGCTGGGACCCAGCAGGGCCGCCCCAGGATGTGGACAGGGAGGGAAACGGGGCTGCCACTGGCGTCCGTGGGGGCAGCGCTTCTCTTGAGCTGGGTGGGCCTGCTGCTGACCACAGGCCTGTCCGTCCAGAGCGCCCGGAGGGCCCCACGGAAGCAGCCCGTCTAGGCCAGCGTTCTGCCTCCACAGCGAAGCTGAACTCCAGGTCAGGTTTGCAGCAGCTGGAATCCAGGGGCAGCCGCCGTGACAAGCAGTCGCGGATCGCTCTGTCCTCCAGGGACACACGTCCCCTTCTGACGCTGTCACCGCCGCTCGCGGCAGCGGATCCCTGAGCTTAACTGTGTCTCACGAGCACCATTTCCCTTTCTCTGTCTTGCATCTCTCACAAAGTCGCCTTCATGGAATGGCTTGGGACTCTTCCTGGGAAGGGAGAAATGCTTCTATCCACGCAACTGTGGGAAACACCCATTTGCTGCTTCTACCTGCTCTTTAACTAGTTACCTCTCTCACCTCACAATAAGCCTGCCTAGAAGTCTTTGGGGGGGACTTTGTCCAAGGGCTTCCAAGGAGCCCCACAAAGATAGACCGTAATCGCATCTTGGCCGATACTCTCAAAGAACTCTGCAGCGATTCTTCGACAACTTGTCCTTTGATATTCTCAACATCTTTGTCTTCAATAGCGCTTTTCACTCATTCACCCAGAACAGGTGTTAAACTAACTAGCTTGTAATTCCCAGATCCTCACCAGCCCTCACAATCCTTTCTGAAGAGCCGACGTTGCCCTGGACACTCACTAGTGCTCTGGGATCTTTCCTTCGGGAGATATTGCACATTTTTGACAGAAGAAAGAAATTCCACCCATGCGTTCTTTAAGAACTTCCAGAGGAACGGCATCTAGGCCTGGTAATGTCTCCCCCCCCCCCACCATTATCAACCAGATTTAGAAGTGTAACTCCTGCCACGATAATTTCCCTCAGTTCCTCACTACTGAGTGTAGATGAACCCCAAGAGTCTGATGGATAAAACTTTCCAAAAGCCACAACTGTGGACCTTGTTTTGCTCCAACAACTCTGGGATTTTTCATTTCCCAACTCCTCCTCTAGGTTATCACAAGCCACAAGCGAAGGCCAGGTACGTGCCAAGTGCACTTTGGCCTAGTCGGACCCACTTGCTCTAAGTAGCTGCTCCACAAACACACATCTTGTCATACTTAAAATAAACAAGAGGGAAAGACAGGCCACAGTAACAAGCAGAAAGCAACAACAGGGCAACACAATGCAACGAAAAAGCTCCCAGATGGAGCCCTGCCTTCATCCAACCGGAACCATGAGCCTGAAATGGCCCGTGGTGCTTGCAGTCGCACCTTGGTACATCTTCCACTACCATTATGGAATCCCAAATGGCACACCGGAGGGCGTTTCGTCAGGGCTTGCCATCCAGGTACTGACCAGGCCAGGCCAGGCCAGGCCAGGCCAGGCCAGGCCAGACCAGGCCAGGCCAGGCCAGGCCAGACCAGACCGGCATGTCTGGAGCTCCAGCTGCATGTCTGCATCTCCTGCTTGCCAGGCCATGTTCTGGGCTTGAAAGGAAACCTCTGTGTGGACTCCGATAAAGGGTTAAAATGAGCAGTCCCCCAAGCCCCAACGCAGCTGGGTCTGCAGCGGGGGCACGCACACGGGGGAGCTGCCCCCTCCCCATCTTACCGCCTCTTTCTCTCGGTCCATGATTGTTTCCAGCTCCTCAAAATGACGGAGTTTGATCTCCAGCTTCTTCATCTGTGTTTCCACCAGAAGGGCCACCAGGGACTTTATCTTCCTTTCCTCAACGGCTGCTAAATGCTGAGGGAGAAGACACACACTTCACCGAGATGCAATCGAGACATCGGAGCGCTTTGCTGTATCAAACGAGCAGCAAGTCTGGCCTACGCGCCTCACTGGTACGAAACACCCATTCATGTTCCGTCCTCAGCCTGACACCAGCAATTCCCCTGGAGCTCCTGCGGTCTTCCTGGGGGGCCCCTCTGGGTGGGACCACCCCAGCTCTGGAAATTCCTTCCTGAAAAGATTTGACTGCCTAGTGCACTGCCAATTAAAGACATAATTGTCTGGACAAGCTTTTGGGGTACAGACAAGTGCGCTGTTTCTCTGAATGATCATGTTGATGGTTCTACTGCATTATTTTAGACATTTGCGATTTTGGATTCAAATCTGTTCGTGTGTTAAACTGTATTTTTGCAGGTTGCTCACCATCCTGGCTCTTTGAGAGGAAGGATGAGATATAAACAAAGAGACGCCTTATTTTGCTTCACAGTCCATTGAAAGGTGAATTAGTTGGCACCGAGATGGGGGCAAAACGCCCCAGGAGGAGCAGACGGGAAGGGTCTGCCATGGCTGAGCTCGGTGTTTTCTGCAGTGTTGCTGCAATATTTTGCCCAGGAAGCCGCTTAATGTCCAGATTTCACAGCAGGTGCACACAGTTGCTGGCACTTCTCCCTCGAATGGCTCTATGAACAATTGCATCTGAACCCATTTAACTACTTTAAGATGGCTCTTCTGGCCGTATTGGGCCAGGCTTTATTTCCAGTAGAGTAACGGGACTATGGAAGTGGGCAGGAGACCACAGGATGGTGTTCAGTGTGGATCAGTGCAAGGTCTTGCACTTGGGGCGTAGGTGTCATAAGTACAGGTTGGGGGACAAGTGGCTGGAGAGCAGCGCTTGTGAAAGGGACCTCGGGCTGCTGGTCGACTGCAGGCTGAACGTGAGCCAGCCGTGTGATGCGGTGGTCAAGAGGGCGAACACCACCCTTGGTTGCAGAGCCAGAAGTGTGGCTTCTAGATTGAGAGAGGTATTACTACCACTCTACACGACTCTGGTATTGTGCTCAGTTCTGAGCCCTTTGTTACAGGAAGGATAGAGCCAGGTTAGAGTCAGTGCAGCGTAGGACCACAAGGCTGGTGGCCGGTTTGCAGGGGATGCCGTACGAGGCGAGACTGAGGGAATTGGGTTTCTTCAGCCTGGAGAAGAGAAGACTCAGAGGGGATCTGTTGGTGACATGCAGGTATGTGAGGGGGTGTCACACGGAGGTGGGTAGAGACCCGTTCTCCCCTGCAGAGGAAGGCAGGATGTGCTCCAACGGAGCAAAGCTCAGGGAGCCAAGGTTCAGTTTGGATGCCAGGAAGCACTTCCTGACAGTCAGGACCCTGAGGGTGTGGAATGGGCTCCCACGGGAGGTGGCTGAGGCCCCATCGGTGTGGGTGTTCAAGGACAGGCTGGAAATGCACATGGTGGGCATGTCGTGAGCGGAGCCGGCTGGAGCCAGGGGTCAGATTAGATGGCCCAGGAGGCCCCTTCTGACTCGCTCTGTTTCTATGTTTCTAATAACCTCCACACCTGCAGCATGTCTCAAGGCAAGATATTCTGGAACATCCCCACGGAACAGTGTCCCTGCCCCTGCGTAGGGGCAGGTGGAGGATCTGAGCCATTACGTTCCGCTCGGCCTGTATTGCGTAACATGCTAAGATAGATTTTGCTAGGTCGGATTATTAATGGTTTTTGGGGTTCAGAAGCGGAAGGCATCCACTTTTTCCTAGCCCGTGTACTCCCCCATGTCAGTTACCAAGTGACCACTTTTACTGGGTTATGTTTTAAAATCAGAAAGAACTTTTTATCCATTCATGTTGTCAGACACCTGACCAAATAGCATCCACCCATTAGGTTTGTAACCGCTTTAGCCTCGCACCAACAGCATGGTCCTATTTGTCTTAGAGTCGGGGGTTGGATGTGCTTCTGGTTCCAACTTGCGGTTACAACAGCAACATCTCATTCTTAGACGGTGTTTGTACAGATGGATCACTAGTGTCGACGTGCCTGAAAGGTAATTCTGACCCTTGTATGATTATGTGGACCTTCGGTGCTCAAGCTGACCGAGCTGTGCTGGGTTAACTTCCAATAAAAACGTGACGGAGTCGCACCCCAAAGACAAAGGCAAGGCTCACCCAGGGACGCTACGTCTTCCGTGTGCTTCTAAAGCAAACCAAGGCGGAGGCTGCTCCACAAGTCATTTGGGAGCCGTGCCGTTCCTAACGGCATGAAATGAGCCCCCGCTTTGTAAGCGCAGAGAGCAAGTCATTAAGGGGCTTAAGCCCCTCCTCTCTGAGGGCCTCCCTCTTCAAAGGGCAACGGGAGAGCTCAGGCAGAGCGGAATCCCTGCCGCCCCCACAAGCACGACTCATTCCTGGCCGGCCGGCCGGCCGTCTATGGGGCCTTCTCCTGGCCCCGCGGCAAGTTCCACAGGCTGCAGGGGCCAGCGAGGGGCACCCCCTCCAGCCGAGCCAGGTGTGAGAGCCCTTAGGCCAACATGGCAGCCGGCCCGATGCCAAGGCCCACCTTTCATCTTACACTGCTCACACACAGCCCCTGCTACGGATTCTACCACCTTCTCTCTTCCCTCCTTAGGGTTTGTTTTTCTGTTGTTGTTTTTTGTTTGTTTTTAAAGGAGCCCATGGTTCCTTCAGGGGCAATGTGAGAGACGCCACCTTAGCGGCTGCTCCCAGACAGCGGAGCCGCGTGCCAGAGGTGGCTGGGCCGGCTTCCTCTCGGCCGTGCTTTTGGCAGCACCCGCACGTTAGCCGAAGCAGTGGGCCTTTCGCCTGCCAGCCGGGTTGTGGGGCTGGGCTGGGCCGGGCTCCTAGGCTGCGGCTGCACTTTCCGTTTGAATACACTGGCTGGTCATTCAAATCAAGCTTGTTTCTAGAAATGCGCAGCTCCTGGGACTGTTAGCTGCCTTGCGGAGCATTTAATCGGTGGAAAGGCAGAGCACTCGCTCATCAGTCAATGATGGCGCCCTTTTGGGAAGATGGCACCCCTATGAAGCGGCAGCAAAAGGCCGATGCAGGGCAACCACACATTTAAGGAAGCTGGACTCAAGAAGCCTCCCGTGGAAGCCGCGCACAAACTGTGCTGAGACTGGGGGAGAAATTCTGCTCGTTAGCTTGGGTGCCAGACGATTAAGAATGCAGCAGCGGAACTGCAGCTCTGAACGACAGAAACACAAGGGCATTTCTCCTGTTGTGTAGGAACTACACACAAGTTTGCTTCAGACACAATTTGGAATGCATTAAGTTTCTCCTAAGTGACTGTTAATGGAGTTGTGAAGGAGGAATGCTTGGCTCCGTTCTCCAGTCTTCAAACGACCAAAAGAAACAGCTCATCAAATATTGTAAAAGAAGCTGACAAACTTTCTGGAGGGGCGCTCTCAGTGTGCCTTTTAGGAAGCCTACAATAGCAGCCTTAAAGCATTCAGGAGGAAAGAAATTTCCCTTAACAATCACATTCGTACAGCTGAAGCGGAGGAGCACAAGCAGCGCATTCTGAGGCACAAGAAACAGAGACAAGTCCCAGGGCTTCGCGACAATGCCATCATTTTCAAAGCGATCCCCGAACAGCACCGGAAATCAGATGCACTGGAAACCAGATGCACATAACAGACCTTGGCTTTGGTGGCAGCCGAGGCAAGAGCAGCAGCTGCGGCCGTCGCAACGTTTCCTTCAGAGATTTCGTGCTCCGCTCTCTTTTTCCCAGCGTCGCCTTCCTTGTCTTTGTAAACATCAAGGTTCTCCTTGTTCTCTTCGGCCTCCTTCTCATCTAAACAAAATGCCCTCAGTCAGCCTCACGCGCTGCTTTGCTGGCGCCGGGGCCAATATTATTGTATTTTGGTGAGTTGTGAACAATTATGAAAGAGCCTGAACCGCACGGCTAACCTCATTGTCAAAAATACATCACGCTCTTATCATTGCTGCGCTGCATCGCCTCCTCCGAAGAGCTAAGAGAACGGACACCTGCCGACTCTAAATAGCGAGCCTCAAATTAATGCAAACGGGACGCACAAACCGAAAATGTTGCATTTACTGCACCCAACCAGGAGCTTCCCTCCCAAATGCCAGTCACTTACAGGGTAAAGTAAAGGGGCAGGTACATCAAGGCCCGGGTTTCCCAGTGCCTGAGCTTCCTCACGGCACTCAAAGAGCACCTCTGCCTCGTTTGGCTGACTTCTCGCACCTGCAGGCTAAGTGGACCATCACCTGGGACCGACTGCCAGACTGAATGGTGCTATTTCTGGCAGTGGCTTTCCTGCTCTGCCTTGTTCCACTGTGCAGGCAGCCTTACTCTGCTTCAGTGCCAAAAGCCTAAAAAAGGTAGCTTAGATTTTTTTTAAAAAGCAAAGTTCAAATATAGTAGACTCAATTGTTCTGAAGCACAGAAGTACATAAATTATGCAAGTTCCAGAGATTGCACCAAATGAAATGCACAGAATGCCAGAGGGTATTTGACATGTGCTTCCTTAACTTGGATGCCTGGAAGGAGAGAGGATTGCTAGGCTGCCCACCTCTTCCTTCAGATTCGAGCCAAGCCACTGGCTCAGAAATAGGAAGAAAGAGGCCTTGCTCATACCAGCTCAAGTGTAGTGCTGAGAGGGAGAGTTCCTGACTGAAGCAGGAAAGGATTTCAAACCAAGATTTAGTGCCTGAGCCAGGCTTATGAGGAGAGGCCCCAGAATTTACTGCTGCACTCCAAAGGAAGGAGAGGCATCTGTTATAGTTAAATTTATGGGACATCCCTAGAACAGCTGGAGAGGTCTTTAAAGTCAGCACACAGCTGGGAGGCCGAAGGTGCAATTCTCTACCTGATTTGGAATCCAGAGGGACTTCGCCATCTTGCTCCTTTTCTGCATTCCTCTCCTCTTCTCCTTCCTTGTTTCCATCTCCTATTTCATTCTCTGCTTTGTTCTCTATCTAGAATGTGAGAAAGGAGAAAGAAACATATAACCCTTGACACAACGCTAAGGTTCTTCAAAATGGTTGGAAAGGAAAAGTTTCACCAAGTTAAAAAGCACAGCAACAGGTCAAAGCAAGTAAGAGCTTTCAAAAAGCTAGAGGCACAAACAGCAAGCAACAGGTGACTTCAAACCGAAAGGGATGGTGGCGGCAAATGTTGCCTTATTGAGAAAGGCTTCCGATCCCTTGCAGAAATCCAGGGAGGGGCAGGAAAAGCGGAAATTTAGTCGTAAGAATCATTCAAAGGCTTCCGTATTTTAGAATGGCACTTTAAATACAGCTATTTCCCCTGCCGCTCCATATGCACTACAACCTAAATAATGCGAAATATGTGGCAGAAGTGTGAGAGGCGGCAGGGAGAACAGAGGGGACCTGGCCCTGACGGGCAAGCGGGGAATCCATGGACAGGGAACGAGAAGCAAACTCCCACAAATGTCTGGTCCACAGTGCAGCAGATGAGAAATGTGGCGGCCATGATGCTGTCCCTGTGTGGGGGGAGGGCAAGTCCTTGCACACGCGCGTGTGGCTGTGGTGGGGCCCAGGCCCCCACCTCCCTGTGCTGCCTCGGGTCACAGTCCAGTGCGCTGCTGCTGCCACGGCATGCAGCGGGGCCCCTCGAGATGGTGCTGGTGGCGGATTCTCCCGGCTCTGGTGCACGCGCGGATGCTACAACTACGCCAAGGCCGGTCTCGGGCACGGGGAGCCCTCGCCACGGTGGCCCAGCTCCGCTCTGCTCGGGGTTTCTTCTCCTAGGCAGCCCCGCACTCCCTTCCCAGGAACGAGGCCTGCAGAGGGGGCTGCTGAGCCCCCAGCCCCTCCACCCCACGAACAGTGAAGCGGCTTCCCCAGCCAGTTCGCAGCGCTGGAGACCTTGGGATTTTCAGCCAATGCACAGGAACCCAGAAGGCAGGGAGGGGGCTGCCCCGGAACCTGATTCTGGATGCCCCCGGCGGGTGGCAGCGCTTAAGGTTGGTGCTTTTGCTATTTACCGCTGGTATTTCCCTCTCTCCATTGCCAAAACAACATGACTGGCTCTGCGGACGGCGAGCCTGGACCTGGGGTAGCCCGGAGCACGCGGGAGCCTTGCCTGAGGAAGGAACACGCCTTAGGCGGAACCGGCTTGTGCTCAGCCCGTCAGGGCTTCTGCTAGGGGGCCTCCGGAGCCCATGTCGACCCTTCTGAAACTTTCATCTGCTTCTGGAAGACTGAAACGTTCCTGAAATCCTGCTATGACCATCGGGGTTTCTAAAAGCACGTTTATGGAGAATTGAAACCGCGCGGGCCCATCCAGCGTGCCGAAGACACGTGGATGGAGGACCACAAGCTCCCTGTGCTTTTGGGTCTCTGCAGTTACATTTCAGAGATATAATCCTATCCCTGCCCAGCCCAAAACTGCTTTTCTCTGCAGTCTGGAAGAGGAGAAAAACAGTTTCGACACTTCACACCAGTGTGCTCAGTAACAGATACAACTGGTGTTAATTGAGGTAGAAAGCAAAGCGCTTTCTTAAATTCTGTTTCTGCTGTGAAGCTCTTTCCAGCAGGATTTTGTGAAGCTGGGACTTCATTTTCACTGAGCCACCGGTAGAATCTACCGAATTAAAAGTATTAATGAGCTATTAATTCAGATTCATTCAATCACTGAAAATCTGCATGATTTAAAAAAATCTCACTAAGCTGTCAGACCTTAACCTTTTCTGCCTGTGGTCCATCTGCTTCTGTCTCCATTTTTTCTTCTTCAGCGCCATCTGCAAGAGAGAGTGACGACACTTAATCCAAGCAGGCCTCGTAGTACCAGGAAAGGCTTGCTGATCGTCCATCGCGGGACTTCCGGAAGCGCTTCGCTTGGTTTTTCAATGCACTTCTCGAAAGCATCACTGCGTTGCACAATACGTTTGCAGCTCAAATCCTACGTTTTTTGTCTTGGGATAAAACAGATAAATCTTCAAACTAGAGTTTTAAAGACCATTCTGTCCGGGGGAGCAGCCCAGCACACCTATGCAATCATTTTCTCATCTAAAAGTTTTGACCCACCTGGTCTCACGCAGTGCGTTACAGAACAATAGAAACACGAACGTGCAAATTAGAACGAAACACTCAGCAGAGCAGCTGCTAATTTTCAAGCATCAGGTGCAACCTGAAATAAAAGCGCCTTCAGGGCTGGGTTATTTTTAAAACAAGCCCATTTGGGGATGAAGTTCCAGGGCTGTGGGGCCATCACTGAGAAAAAGCCCCACCCTGGGTCCAGTGGCTGCTGCTGGTGGGCTAGAGAGCGGGGTCCCCGATGCTGCGTTTAGGGCCAGGACAGGCTGGTGCAGAGGCCGCCACTTCGGGCTGCAGAGACGGAAGCTGATACTGCACAGCCCCAAACTTTCTAAGGAGGTTGTTACACGGCAGCCGTTCCTGCTTGCTCATCCTAAAGGCTCATCCTCATACGGGGCTTTATGCCATCGCCGCAGGAGCTTGTCCAGGCCACACTGCAAATGCAGGAAAACCCTTTTGCGAGTGACTTGTTCCCGACGGCTAAAAATGCCGAACCAGCTAATACAGCTCAGAGATGCACATACACCTGCCAGATGCTTGGTGCTCTGACAAGACTTTTTAAAACTGTGATGCGCTTGGGTGGGGCTTCCCCGTCAACAGAAATGGCGAGGGGGCAATTCCGTGCACAGCCCCTTTACCCAGCGGAGACAGCTTCCTTCCCTTGGCTCCCCGAGAAGCTTGAGGTACGGCAAAGGGGCTGGATCCGCTCAGGGGACTCAAGGGTTGGCCTGCCAGTCTCCCGAGAACTCCGGCTGCACTTCCAGTGGCTTGGACTTCGAAGACGAGCCGGCAGTCACTCAACGGCACTTCTGTGTTTACAGGCTAGGTGGGAAGGCAAAGCAGTGGCTCGCGAGCCGCACCTCTTCCTGGTGCCCCAGAGGGGTGGGGGAGACATTTCTACTTCCCTTCCAGAATCTCAGGGCTTGCAGTCGAAACACCCCCAGCTCCCCTGGCTTCAAAGCACCACTGCTGGACTTGACACGAGAGAAGTTCAAAGGCGCATTCTCGCCGGTTCTGTGCAGGGATGTGCTCCCGGGCGAGCCGTCCTCTCCGACCTTCCTCATCGCCCTTGAGCTTAACCTCTAAATGGTCCCATGAGCTTTGCAGAGTTGAGAAGGAAGGTCGAGGTTTGACCATTAGTGACTTCAGCCTGGGAAAAAGCTCATGAGGCCGGAGGGCCCCCGGAGGGTAAGGCCTCCCCTGGCCGTGTCCGGACAAGCCCGCCTTTGCACCTCTGTCCTCACAGAGAACAGACTCCCCTACCCATTTGCTGGCTCCCCTCCAGCTCCGACACATCGTCTCCCACCTACGGCTGTCCGCTAGCTGCGTGTGCCTCAAGGACCCCCAGGTGCTGCTGCGTCCAGCCCCCAGCAGACCCAGCCAGGGTGGCCAGCAGCTGGCCGCACTTGGAGAGCCGCAAGCCTGCCCTGCACGATGGCGTGGCGGGGCCATGTTCGCAGAAGCCACCGGCTCCCCAGAAGCTGTCTTTCTTCCTGCGGTGGGCCAGTCTGGGGGGAATTCCCACGGGGGGCCCAGGGCACTACGGCTGGCGCCCCCGACAAGGCAGCGCCCCCCAGCACACACTTCTCGGGGACCCGAGGGGAGCTGCGGGGACCTGGGCCCCTCCTCCCGAAGCACCTGGTCCCAGCGTGCGTTGGCAGGCTGAGCCCAACTCTGGCAACGATAACAGAGTCGGGAAAGGAAGCACATTCATGCACATTTTCTTAATTGCCGTAATTTATAGGCCCGGATCGAAAGCCCTGATGCAGGGTAAACAGTCCTCAGCGAGCTGCCACTCCACACCTCCACACAGCCTGTAAAATAAGTTAATTGGATATATAAAACTCTCACAGCCGCCAATTAGAAGAACATCTCAAGGCAAAGACTTGTTAATGGGTAGTTCAGGGAAGCTCCCCTTACTCGGGTCCTCTGCGCCGTTCGTATTTCACAGCACGAGGCTTCCTGGGGAGCGCAAGCATGCCTGCGGCAAGAGCCTGACCCCATGTGGGGGCCCGGGGCCCTTCTGCCCAAGTGGCTCCTCCCCTGAAGGACAAGGCTCTGGTTTGGGGGTGCCCCGGGACCCAGAGTTCTCACTCGAGGCCTTGGGGGCATGGAGCATCTTTTACGCATCAGCTTAAGCTCACACGCCAACTGCAACCCTATCTGGGCTCAGAGAGCAACCAGGATGCCGCGGGATATGGGAACAAAGCCCTGGGAGAAGGGATGGAGAGCACGGGGCATGCGCAGCCTCGAGAAGCACCCTACAAGTGCTTGAGAGGCCGCCACCGAGGAGGGCTGGGCTCTCTTCTTGCTCATCCCAGAGTGCAGGGCACGGAATAACGGGCAGAAGGGGCCGGCTGGACATCTGGAAGGCCTTCCTGACTGAGAGAGCAGTACGACAATGGAGCCACTCCCCCAAGGAGACGCATTCGGCCACCCGAGTGGGACGGTGCAACTCGGTGTCCTGCATGAGCAGGGGGCTGGAGCCGAGGGCCCCTCTGGGCCTCTCCCAACTTGAGGAGTCTGCAACTGAATCCTGGCCACACTGCCCCACACTCCGGTCACCCCATTCGGGTGACGGCAATGCGCAGCACAAGAGGCTGCCTTTAAAAATGGTCCAGACACTCCAACTGCTCCAAAGCAGGGCGGCGAGACCGTTAACGAGGACCGGCTCACGAGAGCATCTTACCCCGATCCTCCTCCAGCTACACGGGCTGCGGCTGAAGTGCGGGTTCGCTTCAAAGAGCGAGCGCTAACACCCAGACCTCTGAACGGCTTGGGGCCCGGTCCTCTGAAGGATCGCCTCCTCCCACACGTACCTACCCGATCCCAAGGTCACCTTTGGGGGTCCTTTCCTGGGAGCCCCTTCCAGAGGAAGTGAGACAAGTGGCTACTGGGGGGGGGGGCGGCATTTGGTTTGGCCCCGTTTTTGGAAAGCGCTCCTCAGAGAGGTGTGCCTGGCACCTACTCCACATTCTTTTCGGCACCAGCTAAAGATCTTTTTATTCTCCCAGCATGTTAACGGTTTGACTCTTGACATTCTCTTTAATAGTTAAGACCTTTTTATTTAATTAATATTTTAGTATTGAATTTTATTATTGTATTTTATTTACTTGCAGCCAGAGTGGGTCGTCAATTTATTTATGCTGTCAGCTGTCCAGAGACATAAGTAATTGGAGGGCAAACAAATTTTATAAATAAATAAATAAATAGATAGATAGATAGATAAATAAATAAATAATAGTGCAGTTAATTCTGAGCAGGTCCAACTGCAACAGCTATTGAGGTTTCATTGTTTCAAGCTAATTTTGTCATGTATGTATGCATGCTTTCATGTCTTTAAAACTTGTGCTAACCACCCAGAGAGCCTCAGCTTTGGGCAGTACAAGACGGACGGAAGGACGGACGGGGGTGTCCTCCTACCTCTCTATCATCTCATGTCCACAGATAAACCCGCGAGCTGCCCCCAGGAGCAGCCCCAGCCAGCGGGGGCCGCTTCCCTACCCTTCCCCCCCCGCAGCAGCAGCCAATCCCGCAACCACCCGCCAGATCCCTCGGCTGCCTCTCAGGCCCACCCACCGCAGGGGCGGCAGCCTGCCACCTGCGCCCACGCCTGGCCCCAGGCCTTCTGCTGCACCAGAGAGGGAGTCCGAGGCCTCGGCAGAAGCCCAGCAGGCTCCCCGAAACGCTCAGGTACGGCAGAGCCCTCACGAGCTCTGCAGGCAGAGGAGTGGAGCTGCAGCTTCTACCACAGCGCTGGCTCAGCTGGGAGCCGTGCCGGAGGAGAGGAGAGGCGATGCGAGGCAGGAGACGCCGCCAGCGCACCGTTTACAGGCACCGTCGTCACACGAATGCAGCTGAAATCCTCTCAGAGGCATTCCGAGCCGCTCCCAGCCCCGGCTCCGCCACGTTACGTGGTACAGGGGCAGCTTTTTTCCTAGTGAAGACAAGCGGATGGCTGCTTATACTCCTCAGCTGCACCGCCAAGATAAGCATCCTTACGTCTCTGGAGCAATCGGGTTTTAAGCAAGAGCCACCTGCTTTTGTCGCACAGAAATGCCACGCGGCCCCTCTCCACACACGGCTGCCGCCGCAGGAGCGCGTGGGCTCAGCCGAGGCCTGTTTCCGCCAGCGAAGAGCCGCCTCAGCACGGAGGCGCTGCAAACCGTCAAGTGACCCAGTTCAGCCTTGCCAAACCACTCCCCCGGGGAGAACCGTCTCCTCCTGCCCTAATTTATTCCATTAGTCACAATCAATGCAAATCACACGAACTGTCTAACATGACGTGCAGAGCTCAGTTAATTTCTCTCATTCAGGAACCATCCGCATTCCGTGTGTTAATATTCCAGCCCAGGTAGGGCTCAGCAATCTGCACCTGCAGGTGGCGGGTGAAAGGAGGAACGAACGGCCGCCCCCCACTTCTAACCGTGTCAGGATAATTAACTGACCTGCCTGCCCGACTGACGGGCAGCTCCCCTCCGTCCCCTCAAAGTGTATTCGCAGCGCAGACTAAGCGATCCGTTTGGGGCCACCTTCCCTGACGATGTCGGCAAGGGCTGCACCGGATCCAGCCCCTGCCGCTCCGGCTGCAACAAGGGTCTCGGGGAGCCGAACTCTGCCGGGAACCCTGGCAAACCGAGAGGCATCGTCCCCAAGCCGGTGCCTTCCAGCTGCCCTGGATTACGACTTCCATGGTCCCCAGGGCTGGCTGTGGATGAGCGGGCTTGTCCTTTGGCACCTCTGGGGGGTGCCAGGCTGGGAAGGGCCAGGATGGCGATCCACCTCCTTCTGTGCGGGACCACTCACCCCCACTGCCCCTTCGCTGGCCAGCTGTGTGTGACCCCGTCCCGGAGAGAGGAAGGCGGGGAAGGAAACCAGAGGAACCGGGACACGGGCGCAAGGTCCCGAGGCCGGCGTTTTCACGGGTGTTGCTCGACGTCACAGTGACCTGTCTGAGCCCGCCAGTTTCTGGCACTGGGGCATGACAGACTGGGGCCTGTGTGGCTCTGAGCGCCTGACGAGCACTGGGGCAGAAGAGGAAGCTGCTATCAGCAAACCTGAAATAAGAACCCTCCTTGGATAATTTAGCAAGGCAGGAAATCAGGTATTTAGTGACCAACGTGTTGAGAAAACACGGCTTTCTGCACGCAAGCGCCTACTTGCCAAAGAGCACGCTCTTCTTCACCCGCCTGCAGGCGGGACAGAGCAGAGAACGCAACCTAGAAGCAAAACTGAGCTCTGAAGGGACCGAGCTGCGGGATCTTGTCCTTAGCGGAATACCGAAGCGAGCGGACGTATGCGCCATGGCGTTCCGTGGTTATGCTTGCACAAAGTGGAAAACTTCTAGCTGGATATAAAGTGTGAGCATCGGATGAAAGGAAGTTTGCCTCGCCAGGCTCTGAAGCTGCACATCCCAGAGCAGTATTTTCTTCTCAAAGATTACATTCTCCTGTGTAGGGCGATCTGCTCACATGCAGAACCTGTCATGCTGTACCCAGACTGACCATTTCCGGGACTTGAATGCGTCCTTGACCAGCGATGCTATTATGGCATTTGTGCAATGACTGGGGGAACAGCAAATGCTCTTATTCGAGCTCGTAAACATAACCGGAACGCTTCATGAGGTGAACGTCTGTCCTGGGAGTAAATCTCTCACTTGCAAAATAGCCCGAACCCTGAAGTGCAGCTTTAACTTTTTCACACGTCTCAGATCCTCAAGAAAGATCTTAAGGACGATTCCAGCTTTCCCACTGAGATCACGCTCTGTTTCTCTCGGGCTGATAAACGATGCGGGCAGCAACAGTTGCAGGAAACAAATTTACATGTTAGCAGCAGGTCAGGTGGGGTCTGGGCTACCTCAGTGGGTTTTTATGAGGATAAAATGGAGAGGGAAAGATTAGCAAAACTGCCTTGGGTTTCTTTCAGGAGGAGAAAAACAGGATATAAATCGAATATATTGATGAATGTGCTGTCCCCAGTTATTATCTGTACTTACTTTTTCGTCAGGCAGGGGCCAAAAATGAATCCTGTGGCACATTAAAAAGTGACGACAACCCTGTCTTTATACCTACACACCTGCGAAGGTATTTTCAAAGACTAGCCATGCTGCGCCACGTGAGCGCTGGAGACGCGGCACAGCTTGCCTTCGGTCATGGCCACCTTTGGCTGCCCGAAGCTGCAGGCCAGAGCCTCTTGGGACTCACCAAGCTTCTCCGGCTCGTCTGGAGCTGTTCCGGCAATGCAGCTGCTCTCCAGCCCATACGTGGGGTCCACCTTCCCAGAGACTCTTGCTGCCTCCTGCACTTTCTTGACGTGGGCCTCCACCAGTTCCAGCGGGACCTCCTCTCGGACCCGAGAAAACTCCTCTGTGGAAGAATCAACGTTTGTTTGTTTATTTATTTATCGATGCATATTCTGCCTTTTTCCCCAAAGGGCTCAAGGCAGCTTACATCCTTCTCCTCCTCCACCTCATCCCCACAACAACAACCCTGTGAGGTAGGCTGGGCCGAGAGCCTGGGACTGGCCCAAAGGCACCCAGCTGGCTCCATGGCCGAGCGGGGACTCGAACCCGGATCCTCGGAGTCCCAGTCCCACGCTCCTAACCACGACACCACTGACTCAAATAAAATAAGGAGTCAATGCTGCTCCATCAAATGAGTTTCTGCTTTATTTCTGCTGCCTGCCTGCAGATGAGATAAAGGTGAGGTGCACATATTGTGCAGAACAGCACAACACGTCTCAGGAAACTGGAGAGCACCAAATCCAATCTGCTTGTGCCAGACAGGTGGGTTGGCTGGTCTGCTGGGAGATGAACCTGCAGTTCTGCACCCACTGCAAAGCTCACCGTGTGTTAAGCTTCAGGTTCTGCATTTCTTTCCTCCCAGGTGAGCTAATTCCTTTCTTTGCTAATAGCCTGTGGAATTTTCTGCTCCGTTTTTCTGTTCTTTTAACTTGCAATTTGGCGTGGTCATTCATAGTTATTTGCATAATAAGGTATTTTAGGCAGAAATATTCCGTAGACATAAGGACTGTGTCCTATTCTAAATGGCTACTCCTATAAGGGCAGGAAGAAATTATTGTAGCATAAATGGATCGGCTGATGAGTTTGCAGCTAGTGGGAGGGGGTTTCAGTTATGTATCAATAAAAAATATTTACCAAACATGTATTTAGCAAAGGAGTGGTGAGTCAGAAGGCAAAACCGAAAAAGCCCACCAGGTGTGCGAGCAGGGGATTAATGGAGCTGATGGGAGGCTAACAAAAATTAACCCGGTAAGTTGACGGATTAGCGGAACAAAGAAAGATGAGTCAGGGCAGACAGCAGACCCCCAAATTAATGACCAGATACTTGAAGCAGAAGCAGCAGGGAAGCCCTGCGAGTTTTAAAAGAGGAGACATGAAGAGGGAGACATGAAAAGAGGCAATTTTAGCAGCGGTATTTTGAATTGACTGATCAAGAAAGATGACAGGTGGAAAAGCCTTCAAGGGAGGTTGCTCACAGACTGATATTGTCAAAGACGCCAAAAAAGAAGAGTCATTTCCAAATTCTTTTCACTTCATTAACACTTTAAAAAGCAGCATTGCCTCCCCTCCCCCCGCATCCTGCAAATCTCCCTTCCAACTTTAACATACGTATTACCATTGCAGAGCAATTAATACTACAAGGACCGCTTCATTCACAAATCTGCTGAAGCATCTTGGGAAGGACTTCATGAAAACAGAATCAAGGCCAGGGGCTGGCAGGAGAACTTGAAGCTTTCGTAACAGGTAAGGCAACGGCCTTTTGAAGCAATTTGTTGGGCTACAATGAGAGCAAATTAATGCCTGGCATTTAGGGAACACTTGGGCTTAGGCAGTGCTTTGCTAACATTAACCAATTAAAAGATAAACGGCAGGAGGCAGCAGATGGGAGAAGGCACGGAGGCAGGCATCAAACCATTTCCTTGAACAGGACTGCCAACTCGTGTGCAGCATCAGTTTTGTTCAAAACCTTCCGACAAAATAATCGGCATCTTTGCAGACAATTCCTCTCAGGACTTTTGGTGAATTTATGACGGATGAAGCCAGGAAATGCTGGAAGCTTTTCTTTAAGGCTAAGATTAAGTCAGTACCAAGCAAGGAATTAAGACCTTCTCAGACAAGATTGTCAGGGGGAAAAGAAGGTGACACCATACCTAAAGCTGCTTTGGCGGCAGCAGATGCCACCCGCGGATCCACAACAGATGCCAGAAAAGCCACTGTGCTCATCACGGGGTTTCCAGACTGGCTGAAAGGCACTGGCTGGTAAGCCAAAGGGCCCAGCGAGGCATCCGAGTTCTCCAGGTAGGGGTCTTCGATGGGAAGCCGCAGGAAGTGAAGGATGCACTCATCCTGGGTGCGGCTTCCCACATGCTCAGAAACTTTGTTCCAGTCATCTTTGTACATTTCTAGAGCCTAAGAAACAGAGGGGAAATCCAGTTGTTAGAGACAGAGAAACAGACAGAACCACACCACCAATGCAAGTGGATTTATAAATGTTTAACTGCAAAGAATGCTAGGAGATGAGCAATGATTAAACACTTGTCCAAATAATAAAAAAAACCCAACTTTCTGGGCTGCTGAGACCATAAACAAGCGCTAGAAAAGTTGGCTTATATACAGTCACTGCTTTTCAAAAATAATTTTCTAAAGATTTTAATTTTCATACAGCATTAAAATAGCAAATCCATACAACTTAAGATCTGGGGAATCAGGGAATCCATATTTCAGAGAGGTGAGTGAAAGATAAGTCACAGAAAGAGCTGGGAAACAAGTTATATGTGGAAAAGTCATTATAGATCTGACCAGAACAATAAACAATAGAGATCTGTCTGACAGCAGGATTCCTGAAGGGAAGAACAGAAACCTTCTTTCTGTCTGTCTGTCTTGGAAGCGATCTGAGTGAGCAAAGCCCCAGGGGAGACGTATCGGTGGCATGAGCTTGCCCCCAAATGCCACGCCAAGCAGCCTTCGATGGCACTGCGCCACTGTGCTAATTCTGACCCCTTCTGGTGGCAAGCGGGTTCTAGCCTGAGTCCCAACCGGGCACAGGCGGCTCTTCTTTCCACAGTCCTATTATGAAACCCGAGAGAAGGGAACGGACTCTTCCATTCCGCTGACCAGCTATGTTATTAAGAGGCAAAGCAGATGCAGCAGTACCTGCCGCATGAACTCCCTTCTCCCTCATCTACTGGGACGTTTCCTCAACGGCATCTTTTGGGAGAAACTGAAGCAAAGGAGATGGCAAACTGATGGCATTCAGCGCTCACCCCCCCGCACTTCCTTGGACGGCAGCACAACTCACAGGAGTTAAAAAATTAACAGGGAGAACTAACCCACAAGGTTGGTGTTGTTGTATGCCATCAAGTCATCTCCAGCTTACGGCAACCTATGAACAAAAGCCTTCCGAAGGCCCCGTCCTTTACAACCCAGCTCAGCTCCTGCAAGCTCCAGGCTGTGCTTCCCGGATGGAACCGATTCATTTTGTAGCTGGCGCTCCTCTCCTCCTGCCGTCAACTTTCCCTAACAAGACTGTCTTCTCCAGCCAGGTCTGCTTTCCCAGGATGCGTCTGAAGTACAACGGCTTCAGTTGCATTATGTTAAAATCCAGGGAAGGTTCTGGTTTGACCTAATGCAGGACCCCCTTGCCTGCCTTTCTATCAGTCCAGGGGACTTGCAAAGCTCTCCTCCAGCAACACAGTTTGAATATATCTGTGTGTCCCCCCAACATCAGCTTTTTTTACTGTCCAGTGATCAGGAATAAAAAAGCGTGGAAGATCTTCATCCTGGTCTCCGGTGTGCAAGTTTGTGAAAATGTTCGTGTGAAAGTAATCACCAACAGTGTGACTGCCTGGGCGACGCCGCATCCACCCCAGGCCTGCTCTTCTACAAAATTCCACGTCGGAGTCACCTGGCCTCTAACGCTACCACAAAAAGCCATTTAATATGGCGGGGGGATGAAACTGCACTGAAGACCACTCGCTGAAGCCAAACGTCGTCACTCTTAGAACCGGACTCAGATTAGTCATGAGTCGTCTGGTTCACTTTGCAGCTAGAACAATGAGGGCAAATGCGGGGGTGGGGTGTTTGTTCGAAGCTTTTCTATACTGTCCTTGACCAGGGTCTCAGGACGGTAATACGAGGCACAGCCTCGATATTAAATAACATATAAAACCCATTTTAAAAACAACATTCAGTCTCAAAATATTGGGAAAATATAAAGGTTGTGGCCTGGTGCCAAAGTAAAGTGTCGGCACCAGGCACACCTCCCTGGGGAGCATGTTCCACAGCTGGGGCATCACTGCAGAGAAGGCCCTGCTCCAGCCTGATCTCTCCCAAAGGGGGCTCCAGAAGAAGGACCGCCAATCCAGGTCTTAGGGGGCAGGTAGGTGATGAGCACGTGGTGCGGGCAAGTTTAATTATGCACCGAGAACTGGGCATTTGCTCTCTGAAAGGATCAGGGCCCTTTTAGCAGAATCTTGGTTTGCCACTCAAACTGTAGTCAATTCCAACTCTTCGAGCCGGTATACTCAGAGAATATAAGCATCAGGAAACACGTTTGTCTGATATGTACTTTATGCATGTGCACCAAACTGTGAGAAACAGCCTGCAAGAGTGAAGAAAAGCAGCTGTAAAGTAAGGAGGCCCTCCAGATGTTTCTGGACTGCAACGCCCACCACTCCTCACCACTGGCTAGGGCTGATGGGAGCTGTGGTCCAACAGCAACCAAAGGGACACATATTCGCACTCCTGCCATAGCAGCAAGGAGTCAGGAATTGCAAGAAGGAGCCGAAGGAGAACTGACAGCTGCGTCAAATCAGATTTTCTTCCATGTTAATGCGAACAGACAGGCTGGATGTGGCAGGGGCCAACAAACTGAGCTGCAGCCCCCAAATTTCTGATCAACCTGGAATGTATTCTCAGTGCAGCGCGATCAAAGTAATGCAGATTTTCAGGGCTTTGATGACTGGGCAGAATAGGTGGAGATCAGGGATAGGTTATTTGTCCTAATTTGTCAGATACACTAATTTTCCCATGCCAACTTTTACTTCAACACTTACTTTCGTTGTGCTTGTTTTAAATTCAGCTAATAACATTTACTTTTATGTCAAGTGGAATTTGCTTTTCAATAAGTATGCAAAGTAACTATCCCAACACGAGAGGGATTGAATCCATAAAGTAAGTCACAGCCCAGAACTTGGAAGAGCTGGTCAGGGCTGTCACGGACAGGGCATGGGGGGGGGAGGGCTTCATCCAGAGGGTGGCCGTGGGTCAGAGATGACTTGACGACACATAATGCCAAAGCAACTTTATGAAACTGCCTGCTAAACTCTACTGACGGTTAATCTTGGAGAGTTCTATTCCTTGTCAAACAGACCACAGGCAGGCAGGTAGGCAGGCAGGCAGAGAGAGAACTTGGAAATTTAATTTTTTGATGCTTAGTGGCAAACGTATTTGCTTAAGGACTGTGTGAGGTTATCTACAGAACTTGATTTATGTGTGGGAAGTTTAAACACAATGGAAATCCTCTGTACTGTTTTATCCAAACGTTTAATGCGAAAAAGAAAGGAAAGCAGAGGTGCGCGGAGTGCAGAATTCTAACACCTGCTCAGGGCCCTCTCTGTCCGTTGAACTAGGACAAGGCCCCGCACAACGATCCTCGCGTGAATTGACAGCTTGGGAGCTTCCTTCTCACCTTGCTTAACAGCTGCACAACAGTAACCTAGTTGCCCCTTTTCAAATATGGAGCATTTAAAGTCAGCCGAGTGGCTAACGAATCGCTTTATTGTACAGTTCTGGAAATCTCCGCTCGACGCTCCTCATGCTATGAGCGGCAATAAAGCCAGCATACAAGGCCGCAGCAAACCGCTTCAGCACCATGAGTGCTTAAACCACCCGCCAGGTGCATCATCCCACGCTATTATTCTAAACATTACATGCTTATGATGCTAATCGAAGTGGTGCCAGCTTTTCATCCTGCCCATGCAAGCAGAATCCCTCGGTGCTGTTCAAGAGCGCCCAGCTCCTTACGTCTGCCTATGGAACACCTCATGTCTAAGCAAGCCCCACAGGCCTCTTCCGGCGCAGCGTCACCTCTCCGCACCTCATCGGGGAGGCACCTCATCAGGTGGAAGGCCTCGGGCCACGCCGTGCCGCCGCGTCTCACGAAGTGAAGCGAAGTCTGCTGCACAGGACCGCCGTTATGTACCGTGGGTGAAATTTGCCACCCAGTGCTGGGGAGTCTGGAGAGGTCGACCAACATGCCGCCGCTCTCCTAAGCACCAACCCCGGCTAATTAATTTCCTTCTAAGGAGCATGGGAAAGTCTGTGCGCACTCTGTGCAACCCAAGCAGATAAACCAAAGCCAGATATATTGTGAGGTTTTTCAGCTAGCAAGGTTGGAAAGGGAGCAGAAACAGATCCTACAGTCAATATTTATTATATATGGGGGTGGAGGGGGGGGAGGGAGGGAGAGCGCATGCGCACATATCTAAGCAGTAAACTAATACTACTGCAGAGGAAAAAAGGCCAGAAATCTTAGCGGTGCCCTGCAGGGAAGAACTACAGCAATCCATCACAGGGCCAGGAATTGATCCGGCGGAATGAGGGGACCATCGAAGTGGAATACGGCACGGCGCACACAGAGGAGAAGCCAAGCTGATTCTGGCTGCTCCCCCGAGACTGCAGGAGATCCTGGGCTCCCCAGGTGGGCTGGTCCTGGAACGAGTGACTCTGCTGGTTCAGGCAACTGAATTCACACAAGCAGAAACTGCCTATGTTGTCAGGCCAAAGAAGACACTGCCAGAATTTGGTGGCCACCACTTCCCCACTGAGACTGCAGCCCGACACTCTCAGACACGCAAACCTGCCCACAACCCCTGCATCTGTATTGAGCCACAGCTTCTGAGAACGTGGATCCAGGAAGGCTTTGGTGTTGAAGCAATGCAGAGAGAAGTTGGGCCGATGCAGAGAAACAGCCCAGCTGGTGTTCCGTAGGATTCTGGACCACGAAAAAGACGCAAGGGAAGGGTCCGAAGGCTGCAAATGCTCCACGGGGGGCTGTGCCCCTGCAGATGAAGAGTCTCCGAATGAGCACGGAAGAACCTAAGCGAGCCTTTCCGACAGCTCTTCTCCATGACCCGGACTTCCCCACTTAATATGCCGACTGGCAAGGGCCAAGCTTCAGCAGGCCCTGAGCAAGACCGGAAGGCACCGGGCAGCTCGCACGGTGAGCTCAGTCCCACGCGGGAGCGGCAGGTGGATGTTCGTTCTGAACAGCCCAGGCTGCTGCCACCCCTGCTGCCTGCCAGAGACCTGCCCCACCAGCATCCCTGCCTTGGCCTGTGCCCTTCTCTGTCGTGCCTCCTCACCAGCAAGAGCCCCGGAGGACGCCTGCAGGTCAGGCAGCAGGTGCACCTTTTCTCTGCTTCCCTGCCCTGCACCCAGGGCAACAGAGGTGAGAGAGGACGCCACCGCCGTGCAGATTTTAAACGTGAGATGGAAGCACCAAGGGATGGTGGCGCTCTCAACAAAGGATAGGAGGGAAACGTCGGCAGGGGCCACGGAGTCCCACCAAGGCCTCTCAGGCAAAGGGGCGGAAGTTCAAACAAAAGCGCCACTCCACGGAGGCAGGGGCCACGTACGAGGGAGACATCCCCTACTTCCGTCAGGTCCAGATCCCTGCCACGCGCCCGACAAAGGGCTTGAAAGACACAGTCGGCCGAGAGCAGCCCGCATGCCGAGCAGAGCTCCAGGGAGGGAGCGTGTGACCCGGTCCCCCGATGAAACAGCCGCACAGGGCTCGGGCTTTGTGTCCAGACACAATTCGGCGTGCCGGGGATGAGCTGCGGAGCCGCGGATGCCGTGGGACCAGGCTGCTCCGAAGGCTTCACTCAGTATCTCCCCTCGTGCTTAGGCGAATCAGGCCGCCTCCCCAGAAGGCTTACAGTCGGTGCATCTCTATGTCAGAAATAGCTGTGCCTCAAGTTCCAGCACCTGCCGCTTCCTCTCACAGCTTCTGGCATCGCTAGAAAGCCATTCAGTATCACCCCAAGTTCACAAAGAGTCGCCTCAGCAGGTGTGACCTCTTTCGTAGAAGATGTTAGCAAGATCTGATTTGGGCAAACACAACACAGCACACACAACTAGATGTGCAAGATTTATGTGCTCTCATGTTTACGGCAACCCCGAGGATGTCAGAGCCACAGATGTAACAATCAAAATCCAACTACGAAGTTCTTGTTTATTTCATTCCATTTCTATACTGCCCAACAGCAGAACCTCTCTAGGTGGTTTATCACTGTTCCTTTAAACAAGACAAAAGAATGAAAACAACCATTCAAATGTCCCTCTGTACAAAGTTTAAAAATTTACAAATACTACAGCAACCTGTAAAAAGCACTTGGTGCCTACATCAAGCAATTAAATAAACTTCAGGTATCTTTAAATGACATAGAGGGATGTCTTCACCCAACACCGAAAACGGGGCAAAGTTGGTGTTGCGCATGTCTCGGTGGGAAAATCATTTCACAGTTGTGGGGCAGCCACTAAGAAGGCCCCGTCTCTGTGTGACCTTCCAAGTCTCCTTCAGAAGTGGCGACTGGAGGAAGGCTCCAGATATCGCTCAGTGCCCAGGCACACCGCAGCTGGGAGAAGCGTTCGGCAAACACTGCGGTCCACAGCTGAGCAAGGCTTCAGAGGTTAGCACCAGCATTCTGAATTTGCTGCTGAAGCAGAGAGGGAGCCAATCCAAACAGGCCAGAGCTGGTGTGGTGGGGTTCAGAGTTTCTGGTTCCGGTTCTTAGCCTGGCTGGAGCACAAACTGCAGCTTCTGAGCAGTCTTCAAGGGCAGCCCCACGTAGAGAGCACCGCAGCAGTCAAGCTATTACCATGGCCTGGACTACCAAAGCCTGGCTAGTGCTGGCCACACAGGGGAAAGCTGGAACCCCATGTGAAGCTGGCCGAAGGCACTCTGGGCCTCAAGTAACAAGGACAGCTTAAAAAAAAAAAAAAAAGGCTCCCGCAATACGAACTTGCTCCTTCACGGGATGGAAACCCCTCCCTGTGCATGCCAAATACCCCCCACCAAGAGCACCTCAGTCCTGCCTGCACTGAGCGGCCGGACAAGTTTGCCAGCCCTCGTCCGCTCCCCCGTTGCAGCCCGGCACACGCCCACAGCCTCCCTGGAAGGACATCTAAGCAGGAGGAGAATGGGCTTCCTCCAGCCCCTCCGTGGAGACGCGCTCCGCACCCTGGGGTGGCCCGCCGGGGGCTTCATCGGGCAGGTGCTGCATGGTGCAGAGAACAAAGCGCACGGGTGCAGCAGCCTCCTCCGAGCACGCCTTCTGGAGGGGGCCGTGCAGCCAGAGCCAGAACCGCAAGCAGCCCGGCCCCGGCGGCGGCGGCTCAGGGGGCTGCCCCAGAGGAACAACGGGGGCAAAGGCGCTGCAGGCCGCCGAGAGAACCAGGGCTGTCGGCAAGGGCACTCCTCCCATCTCTTTCCCGGCACAGGGCAAAATACAGAGCAACCCAGGCTGCTCTGGTGCCAAACCTGGCCTGAACCCCCGAAATGGATCCAGGGAGCTGCTCTCAGCCACAAGTGCCCGGAAGTGGTGGGCCACCAACTGCTGAAGGACGTTGCCCAGGAGACAAGCCATGACCAACCTCTTCCAAGTGGCTGAGATGGGCAGGGTCTGTCTCCCTGAGCACCTCCTTGGTGGAGCTGCCTGTTTACACCTTGCTGCCTCTCATAAGCCAGGTGGGCAAGGAAACGGTACGATGTGGTTCCACGTACCTGTCCAAGCACCTTGCCAATGTACTTGAGCTGTATCAACCAACACTCATCCGAAAAAACTGCACCAGGCTGTGCTCCGAGTACGTCACCTCATTCAACTGCTATAACACTAGAGTTATGAATGAAGATGGAGGCAAAGATTTTCTCCTGAAGATATCCAGCAGATATATCACAGCAGGCCTCGGACAGATCCAGGAGGTCCTTGGGGCCAGGATGCAACAAGCCCCAGACAACCCTCAAAAGCTCCCCTGGGTGGCATGGAGAAGACCGAACGGAGACCGTGAGGTGTGGCTTCTTTGCCGCAACTTGGGATGAGTGGCCCCCACCCCTGCAGTGCGCAGCTCGCACACACCCGTCAGTTCCGCACAAGTGACCGTCCAGCACAGGTATAACTAACTTAACTCAACTGAAGCTCGGAGTTCGACTGCTTTTCAAATTCTATCCATCAATCTCCTTTTCTCTGTATCCACAACTCCCAATTTTACATCGTCTTACCTCCAGGAGCAGCAAAGTCTCTTGCTCTGTCCATTCTCGCCCGGCGCTGGCACTTTTGCTCTGAAAGGAGGAGGGGAAACTATTCACTTAGCCGTGCGTGGTCCCGATGAGTAAGACAGTCCTTGCCAAGCGGTGGGCCTGGCGGAATGGCTCCTTCGGGGTGACCAAACACGCTCTTCCTAGCTCTCGCTTGGGGCCGGGGCAACCCGAGAGCAAGCAACGCCACAAAGCGAGTATCCCAGACTTTAAACTAGCATCGATGCATAATGAAAACCGTATTTTTTCTGAAATAAGTACCTACATCATTAAAAATGTAATAAAGCATAGCCGTTCCTAGTGTATCCGCTCAAGGGAGGTCAACAGGTGCCGTATGTAGGGATCAGCTCTGAGCCAAGCACGTGCATTTAAAGGTCAGGAAATGCGAAAACTCAGAGACGTCTGCAGGGCACAAGCCTTAGAGGGGCCAGGGCCTGTTTATTAAAACGAGGTGTTATTTTCTTTTAAGCCACAAGGAGACAGGCAGACAACTCAAGAGGCTGCTCTTGGGCCAGGTGGAACCCGAGGAAAGCCGTGCCAGACCGAGAGCGAGGCTCCAGTGCTGGACCTCCCCCAGCCTTCCGCGTGCAGTGTGGCCACCCACCTGCCTGAAGAAAGCCCTCATGCAGGACACGGGTGCAAGAGAACCCTCCTGCCTCTGCTCCCCAGTATAGTCGGGCTGCCTGACTCTGGAAGCAGCATGCAGCAAGCAGGCCGAGTGGCCATGGCAAGCACATCCTCCAGGAATTCGACTAATCCCCTTCTAGAGACATGCAAATTGGTACCATCAAGGCATCTTCAGGTAAGTGCTATGTGAAAAAGCCCCCCCCCCCTACCTGACCTGAAACTCCTACCAATCAGCCCCATGGGGTTACAGGAGCAAGGAAAAATCCAGCAGTACAAGAGCAAGAAAAATTCCTCTCCGCCAGGTTCTTCACCCAGGCACGGAGCTGTACGACTCGACTCTATCTTCCCTCCACACTAAGGAAGCTCCGCCTTGGGTGACCTTCTTGAAAGGAGGAGGAACAACTAGTGACTTGCCTTTGCGAGCGTTTTCTTTGAATAAATGTCCGTGCGCAGCCCAAAGTTCTGTAAGTCAATAGGCTTCTCCTTGTTTTTCTCTGGAAAATTCAACATTTGCTGAGCAGCCGGAATCTATGGAAAGAAATGTAAAAAGCGACGTCACCAGAGGGAACACCCGAAAGCGTCTGAGACAGCCGCACCTGGGGCATGTGGCTGGTGCCATCCAGATGTTTTGGGGTGGAATGCCCAGCATCCCAACCCAGCACGGCTGCGGGCTGAGCTGTAGTCCCAAACACCTGCGGTCAGCGGATTGCCTAGCCCGAGCCAGGCACAGTCGTAACATCATCGCCTCCGTGACTGGAAAAACATCCGTGAAAGGTTCAAAACGTGCTGTACGGGCTACCTATTCCCACTGCGACTCTGCCTGGATGCTCTGGGGCAGCACCTGCCAGGTTAACAAGCCCCCCAAGATACGGTGTTACTCTACAACAGAAATGACCCACTTGTGGCTGCAGGGCCCCAGGCTTACGGTGAAGTTTGGCCAGCGTGCGTGAAGGCGGTTTTGGAAGCAGGACAACACAAGACGAAAACCAAGTCACACCCAAATTCTGTCTGGCCGTCCCTAAACCTGGGCCTTCCAGACGTGTTGTATTACAGCTGAGAATCCGGTATCCAACTTTGCTTCTTTCCTCTTCCCCATAATTCCAGTTCCTTTTGTGTAGTGTTTGTAAAATTGTCAGCCTGTGAGCAAAGACTGTCTTAAGAAAAGCCTTTGAAAGCTGCCCTGGGAGTCTTTTGGGCTGAAATGCAGTATAAAAACACTACGAATAAACCCCCCGCGTATCCAGTTTGCATGGCCGATGCGCAGGAGTCAAAAGAGTTGCACTGTAAAATATCCGGAGGGACCAGCTTAGGGAAAGCTGCCTTAGTATTTCTTCCTGAACTTTCTCCAAGGAGGAAAAAGGTAACACAGAAGCCCCTTCTCAAGAACCCCACTTGACTTCTTGTCTGTCAGAACTGGTCCCACAGAAGAGGGGTTGCTATGCACAGACTATTTCAAGGCAAGTGGGAATGGGCTGCCGTGTCAGGATCGAGGTATTTATTGGATTTGCAGCCCACCCCATTAACCACACGGCTCCCTGCCTATGCTAGCTTACACTACGGCTGTTTGTGCTAGCAACGCCCAGCGACAATTTTCCGACATCTCTTCTTCCTCCATGCCATCTACTTCTGTGTTTGTTTATTTTTTATCTTTTCGATTTATATCCTGCCTTTTTCCTACAGGGCTCAAGGCAGCTTACATCTCCTCCTCCATCTTATCCCCACAACAACAACCCTGTGAGGTAGGTTGGGCTGAGAGTCTGTGACTGGCCCAAAGTCACCCAGTCGGCTCCATGGCTGAGCGGGGACTCGAACCCGGATCCTCTGAGCCCCAGTCCCATGCTCTTAACCACTACGCCACACTGGCTCTCTGTTTATCTGTAATTGTCTGGGCTACTGCACCACAATCGACCATGGCAAATGTACAAAGCACAGAATATGGCCCTACTATCCAGGCAAGCCCGTGGGGATGTGAAAAATAAGGCCTGAGAACGTTTCCGTGTGCGTAATGCGGCTGGCGCCACACTCGGTCTGGACGACTGAGCGGACTGCATTTGCCCTCTGTTGCGAACGTTTTTTCAGTAAGAAACCGAAACGAGAAATGCGATGACGGTTTCACTTTCCTCAGAGAAGTGCCTCGCTTCTTCTCTTGAGCTCCAGGTCCGAAGTGACTGCGTCAGATCTGTTAGTCATCTTGTGGTTACCGCGAGTTGGCCATAATGCCAAAATGCAAGATGACTTGTGTGTGGCATTGCGACAGTGAAAACACTGAAGGAATCACAGATCACAGAACAGCACAGCTGGAAGGGGCCAGGAAGGCCATCCAGTCCACCCCCTGCTGCTGCAGGACACCAAGTCACACCATCCCACTCAGGTGGCTGTCCAGTTTCTCCTTGAATGTCCCCAGTGTGGGGGAGCCCCCACCCCTCCAGGCAGCTGGTCCCACTGCCGTCTTGCTCTGACAGAGAGGAAGCTCTTTCTGATGTCCAGCCAGGGTCTGGGTTGTCGCCACTTGACCTGATTATTCCGTGTCCTGCACTCGCATCAGCAAGAAGAGATCGTGACCTCCCTCTTTGTGACAGCCTTTGAGGTCCTTATAGAGGGATCCCATGTCCCCCCTCAGCCTTCTCTTCTCAAGGCTGAACATGCCCAGTTCTCTCAGTCTCTCCTCAGGGGGCAGTGTTTCTAAACCCTGGATCATCCGTGTTGTCCTCTCTGGATCCTAATTTCTCTCTCTCTCTCTTAAATCTTGGTGCCCAGAACTGGACACGGTATTCCAGGCGAGGTCTGACTAGTGAGGAGTACAGGGGAACTGCTACTTCTCATGATTTGGAAGGAATAGTTCTATAGATACATTTCAAAATAAGCTGCATCATATTGTTTCATATTTAGCCTGCTGTCCACAGTAACTCCAACATCTTTTTTAGTCCTGTTGAGTCATGTATTCCCCATCTTTTATCAATGCCTCTGGTTTCTTTTTCCTCGGTGGAGGGCTTGGCACTTGTCCCTCTTCAATCTCCTTCTGTTGCTCTCAGCCCAGCATTCAAGTTTATCAAGATGGCCCCAAATCGTCATTCTGGCTTCCAGGGTGTTTACTATTCCACTCAGTTTTGCATCATCTGCCCATCTGAGTGTCTTCCCTTGCATCATCTAAATCATTAACAAAGTTGAAGAGCCCCGGGCCTGGGCCTGAACCCTGGTGCGCCCCAGGAAGAGGAACAGTTGCTAAATAAAAATACTTTTAGCAGGAGCACGGGAACAATCCAACAAGAATGAAGAAGCATCTAACAGCACATAGAAACTGTCCTGAAAAATACACGATGCCTACAAGAAATCATTACAAAGTGGTGGTGGAATTCATTAGAGGGCCTGCAAAACCCCACGCCGGCTTCATCTGGAAACCCCGAAGGATCTTACCTGAGGTGTGCGTAGGTGAAGAGGCATGAGTCCGGACGGCGTGTCGGCGAGCACGTTGAAGTGGGGGGTGGGAGGAGGGCCCATGGCCATGGGGCGGCTTTCTGGATCCACCTGGTAATTGATCAGCCCCCACTGCTCCAAAAAGGCGTGTACCCTGGGTGGAGACGGCACAGGAGAGCAGGATCACCGCGTGCTCTGTCCGTCCCACCAGGCCCCGTTCCTGCCCTCTGGGACACATATGGGTCTAATATGGCCCCACCCCCACTGGCTTTGCAAGCCAGGTGCGGCCTCCGAAAACAACAGGGCCCAACCGCGGAGTCCCCCGTGGAAAATGCAGCCTGGGCCTCCTCGCTCTGATTTCCACGCTGCCCCGGAAGGACGCGGTGCGGGGAGGCTGGCCAAGCGCTGGCCATGCGCTCGATGCTCTGGTCCCCTCGAACACCGGCGCCCCCGTCTCGCCCACCGCGTGGCACTGTCACCCATCATGGTGTTCTTTACACAAAAAGCGGGCGGGCGGAAGCCCCACCCCCTCGGCAGACTCCCCCCTGCTCCATCCGCAGGCAAGGGCAGCGGGACCCACCTCATGACGGCGCAAACGTCGCCCGTCAGGTTCCGGCGGCAGGCGGTGCTAGTCAAGTACTCCTGCGGGTTTAGGCGATAGGTGTCGATCATGAAGTTGCGGTAAGCGAGGTATCTGGAAAGAAAGCGACGCGCAGGCCCGTTACGGACAGACCTCCCCGCACGTGTCACGGGGAAAGGCGCCCTGCTCCGACGCAGGACCCGTCCACTGTGTCTGCCACACCGCTCTGCCGTTCATTCAAGTGGCACGCACGCTGCTCTCGCTGCAGCCCAGACACACTCCCGGCACAAACGCAGAATTCTTCTGCGGAACGCGCGCTTCCCTCCCGCCCGGTTTGGACCTTCGGGCTGTGGAAGATCGACAGAGCATCTCGCTCAGACCTCTGCCAGGCCCGTCCCTGCTGCCTTTGCTGATGCGCTCTGCGGAACAACTCTGGGCAGCCCCAGCCAGTGCGGCCAGCAGTCAGGGCTCGTGGCAGCTGGCGGGGGGCGCCACTTTGCATTTGCTGCTGTGATTAAACAACTGGAAAAGGGGGGAATCAGGGCGCGCCTGCACCATGTGTGCCTACCCGGCCCTTGAGATCTGCGCAGGGGGCCCTCCTGTGTGACCCTCCCTTAAGGAGGGGAGAGGGAAGGCCGCGAGGAGGAGCAGGGCCTTTTCTGCAGCCGCTCCCCACATCTGGAATCTCCCAAGGAGATTCGCCTGGCGCCTCCCTCCCTTTCTTTTTGGCGCCAGGCCTTCCCTTTTAAAAGATATTTTTAATAACTAATGCCATAGACCTTTGCTTGTATTTTATTATTACTTTAATGTGTTCTGGTTTATATTGTGTTTTTACTGTATCTTATCTTACGGTTGTGAGCCAGCCAGAGGTGCTGTGGCACAATCAGACAAGATATGAATGCTATAAAGAAATCAACCAACCAGCCAGCCATTTTCCAGCACGCCACAATCTGACCTTGTGGCACACGCTCCTCGGCAGCGCCACCTTCGCTTAAGACGTTGGGATACTCACACCCCCCCGCCGCTTCCTTCGTGTCCTGCTGCCCTCAGGGCACCAAGCGTGGCGCCCTTTCTCCAGAGACGCTGGCTGCACAACCTGCCGCTGAGCAGCATCCCACCTTCCCCAGGGAAATGCGTTGGTCCCCTTTGGAACTGGGCTTCGCCGGGGCAACGGGCATTTTGGGACAGCCAGGTGTCCCAGGCCATCCTCTCCTCTTGCTCGGCCAAGGCTCCGCTTATACGGGGGGCTTTATGCCCGAAAGGTCGGGGGCCTCCACCTGCACCCTCTGGAGCGGCTGGAGGCTTGGGGGCAAGCGCAAGGCGAGTGGCGTGCGGAGGGCAGCCAGGGCGAAGAAAGAAAAGGGGGATCTTGCCAGGAAGGCAGACACACGCCCCGCGACCCGCTTTTCCTGAGCAAGGCTTCCCCGGGCCGTGGCATCCCCTGGACAACCTGCCTTTGGACAGCCGTCAAGGGAAGGCGAAGAGAAGCCCACGGAGGCCTCCTTGGCGCAGAGTCCAGGGCTGGCAACCGCTGTGCTTCGACAGTGGGTACCGCGTGGGGCGCTGCCCCACTGACGCACCCAGGGCCCGCGGTCGCAAAACACTCCCCTGCACCGCTTCACAAGCGTGGCTAAAAAGCAGGCGGACGTATCTGCTCTCTCCCCCAGCTACGCCCAGCTGTACTGGCTGAATGAGGACTTAGGGGTCAGGATGCTGAGACGTGGCCGCACCGCCGTGGGTCGGCTTCGTGGGCGTCCGTCCTTGCAAACCGCTTGAGAGAGCCTGGGTTCCGGGTCGAGGGCACAAAGGAGGCCCCCCCCCTCCCGCACTGAAAGGAGCCGGCAGTGCGAGGCCGCTTCCTCCATGCAGGGCTTGAAGGGCTTCACACACGGAAGGGCTGCCTGGGGAATCGGCCTGCCTCTTTGCGCTCCTCTGTGGCTCGGAAAAAGGAACGAGAGAGGGGGAGAGATCAGTGCACACCCCGATGAAGAGGAGGACAAGGGGACACACAGGAGGCAGGCAGAAACTTCTAGAACCCAGAACCGAACAAGCACGCAAGAGGGGGGAAAGCCCATCCCGCTGAAACGGGGAGCTCATGCAGACAGCAACATAAATCGTGAAATAGGCAACACAATGCGGGCCATTTGCCCAAGGATCCGTGGTGCATCCGACGTGACTGGATCCCCCACGAGCTCTTGGTCTCTTCCTCCCCCCATGTGTATCCTAGGGGATACCGAGGGAAGACTGCGTAGCCCCCCTCCCCGCTGCAATTGCAACTGGCTTTGGGCTCATCTCCTTCCCTGATCCGCATTTTGACAGCTGTGGGCAGGCTCTTCCAAGCACCCCGGTGGCAACAGACAATATTTGTGAAAATCTAGCAGGCCACCGGGAAAAAAAAAAAAAAAAAAGGCTTGGCAACCACAGATAGTCTCCCCCAAGTGCCACCGACGTGCTGGGACCTCCCATGGCAGGGGTTAACAGCCAGCTTTTACCACTACAGAAAAGGGGGGAAGCCCTGTAGTTTTTTTTTAAAAAGCTACCTTGCACTGAGCAATCATGGTGGCGGGCGAGGGGCGGTGGTGGGGGGAGGCTGGGGCCAGCTCTTGTCAAACAATTTGTCTAGCTCCCCCGCAGACCCACAATGAGCCGTGCCTTTTGAGTTCAGATGACACGCTGCACCGCCGTGGGCCCAACAGCCTTTAGGACAAGCCATGGCTTGTCAGGGTGGCGTGGGAGCTGCGCACACAGCATCCCGGGTCGAGCAGCCCCTGCCCGCACACCATGGGAACCCGCCGATAAGCCGAGCGAGGCCATCCTGTCGTGCAAACCCGGTCGGCTCCTCCTGCCTCCTGGGCGGGATGGTGTGACCTGGCAGAGGCCTGGACCAGATGGCCCCCCCGGCCCCTTGCGTGCTTTGAAAGGAGCCAGGGAGGCCAGGCCGACTCTGGCCCTTGCTGCCTTCTTCAGTGCCCCGACCTCCTCCCTGATCATGCTCAATTAAGCCAGATGCCCGGAAGCAAGCTAACGCTCCAGGCAGAGCCTCCTCCCCCATTGCCGGATTTAAAGGCACCTGAGCCAAACTGCAGTGGGGCGCTCCCTCCCTCCTTCATTCGCACAGCCAGCCTCCCCCCGGGGCTGGGGCCAGGCAAAGAAATCCAGAGCGGCATTTCGGAGGGAGGAGACCTGGCCCTGGAATGCTGCAGCACCGAGGCCGGGAGCGAGGGTCCCGGGGCCCAGCGATGCACGAGACCAGCCGGTTTGCAAGCATGCCCGGGAACATAACGAACCAGCAACCGGGGGGGGGGAGGGGCCAACTCCCCCACCCCTTGCCCACAGGAAAGAATCCCCATCGCTCGCCTGCTGCCATCCAGCGGCAGGGGTGCTGCGGGCCCTCTCGGAGCCAACGGCCTTTGCCACCCCAGGCTCAGGTGGACCCGGTGGCTCAGAGTTCCTCCCACCCGCTCTGGACGGTGGCCCCGCTGTGCCCTCAGGTGCGCGGGGACAGCCTGGCTTCAGGAAGCTACGCTCCAGGACTCTCCGCGGGAGAACGTTTGCAAGACGATTCAGAAGCTGCGGCTTGCACACACTGCGGCAGCCGGATCGCGCACTGGAACCTGGAGGGCCGAGCACGTGAAAACCCTCCTGGCCTGCTGGGGCTGGGCTGCCTATTTTTTCCTGAGCCCCATTCCAGGCGCTGGCTTGAGCCAGAAGGGCCTCGCACGGCTTTTGCGCGGTACTTGCGGGAGCGACTCCATCAGCTGCAGGGCACCCGGGAGCGACATTCCGCATCTGGGGCCGTCCTCCGAGCGCCAGCTCTGAGGGAGACTCGTAGCCCCCTCGGCGGTGGGCCCCAACTGTGGAATGCGCACTGCGCTCCCCACAGAGGCCTGCCCAACACCAGCCCGGTCTTCCTTTTGCTATCGGGTGAAGAGAGCCCTTTAGAGCGAACCTTCTGAAGAGAAGCATGGGCAGCCAGGGGCTTGAGGGGTTCCTGACCCCTGGGGCTTGCCACGTGGCCATTCACTGCAGCATCTTGCTGGCTGCTCTGAACTTTCACTTCCAAAGGTTTGTAAGACTTATGACTGGCTGTAAACTGCACAGGGAGCTTTGGCTATTGAGCAGGACAGACAATCGCGGGACAGACCACCAGCAGCACCGCCAAACCGAGCAAGCCTTCCGCTCAGCTAATGCGGTAACGAGGAGAAAGGTGCGCTACGGGAACGTCCGATGCCGACGGTGTAGCTGGAACGAGACGCGGAGACCTGATGCGTGCCTGCTTCTGCAAGCCACCGCCGGGCAGCAGACAAACAAGCATTTGTGCTCCGCGGTTCAGCCAAGGCCCGAGGAGAAGCACAATGTGCTCTTTGTCGCCGAGAACAAGGGCAGCCGGGGTGCAGCCAGCGTGCACCTGGCAGAAGGCCTGCGAGGCCCGCTCGCCCTCGCGCTCTTGCCAGGAGAGGTGGCAGGGCACCGGCTGCGGCAGCGGCTTCACTTCAAGGCTTGCCTGGCTGCAACGCAGCGGCAGGACAGCGGCCCTGCATTTACCGACTTGCCTCGTTGTCACCGGCAACTAGGAGCCCCACACGGGCCAGTGAGGCCGCGGATGAAGACGGACGGCTCGTCTCCTCGCCGGCCCACACGGTGGAAGATGGGCGTGCTCAGGGGTCCGCTCAGAGGCCTGCAGCAAGTGCCTCTGGGCAGCGTGAGGAGCGGAGGACGAGGCGGTGCTACCGCGCCCCGAGACCGGCCTTCCGGCCATCGCGCCCAGCCTTGTGGACACGGACCGGCCACGCTCCCCAGGGCTTCAGGCGGGGTTCACTGCCTCAACTTCCTTCTGCAGGCCCCGCAGCTGCTCGGGCGTGGGCGCCCATCCTTCCGCTGACAGCTTCCCCTCCTCTGAGATTAGCACAGAAATGCAAGCCTGCAACTTCTGTGCGCTTATTTGCCAGGTGGCTCATTCCCCCCCGCCCCCCCGGTATTCCAGCTTCCCGGCTTCACGTGAGTGCACCTGCCGTGCCAGCCAGGCACCCCGCCCTCAGAGGGCGCCCTGGGCCCTGGAGCAAGCTGGGGCTTCACCTGCCCCACCTGCAGGGACCTGGAGTGAAGCAGGCATCCCGGAGCGGCTCCGTGTTAGGCCAAGGGGAGCATGCGACATGCACGCGCTTTTCTGCACTGACTTACATCTCCGGAGTCTTCGACTTGTTCTTCCCGTTGAAGAATTCTGGAAGCGCACGGCGTTCAATTACATGAATACTACGGGGGGGAAACCCAAAAAGGTTAGAGTGCAGACCATGCTCAGATCTGCTCTGCCTCCCAAATGCAAACAATGCCCTAGGCAGTCACTGATACGGGGCATCCTGTCCCACACAGACTAATTAAACCATCCCGCCTCTAAAGAAAAAAAACCTCTGCATATAGAAGCCACTTTAAACATAGTTATTTAACTTAAAAGCCTTAAGACCAGTGAGGGCCACCGTGCTCTTACGATTCCTCAAAAATAATGACCTTTTGTGTCTGTGCCTACAAGCAATTGAGCATCGAGGCGCATGCACTGAAGTGATTCAAGGCTGGAAACACTGGTAAGAATTGATTTACTCCTCTGAAACTACATACAAAAACATAATCATAGCATTGTGGAAGGGTCGTGGCACACACAGAAAAGAGAATCGCTTGCTTTGTGTGTTCATCGTGTGTAGACATGACAGAAATATGGAAGCCAAGGAATTATACAGCCAGTTTTTCTTTCCTTAGAAACTTCATGTCCATGTGTATGAATTTTGATCTTTCAGCTCAGCTTCCAACTCCCAGCAGGCCGGGCACTTTGGAGATTTATCTGCAATATGTCACATTATTGTGGATATAATCTCTTTGCCATCAATTAGATTAGAAAATGGATTTTCTATTTCAGAGAATGATTGAAAGGCTAGCTCATTCTTTTAAAGTTCAGGCTGGAAATAGGTGGGTAATGGGGCTCTTCCTCTACAAATGAAGCCGTCTCTGAGGGAGACCTGCTGTTAATACAGAGCCGGAAGCAGAAGTCTTCACATGCCGTCTGCCTTAAGCAGCTGCCCCTCTCCCATCCAAGTGGTGTACAGAAGACTTTCTGCACATTTCGGGCAAAGGTTCCTTTGGGCCCGAGTGAGACTGACCCTTGTGACACAGGGTCCTGTGAGTGCAGAAGTCCCAGGGATCAGGCCAAAGTCTGGCATCCTGTTTCCGTCAATGGTCAACCAGATGCTTTCAGGGACACCCACAAGCAGGACGGGCTGGCAAGAGCCCGCTGCCGCTGCTGGTTCCGAGCAACTCATATGGAGAGGCAGACGATCCAGGAAGATGCCCCAGATCCCATTAGTCCAGCCTCAACAGTGCTGGATCCTTCCTGTGTGGGAAAGGTCAAATCAGGGCTCAGGTTCCACATAATCCATGGATGCCTGAAATGAGCATCATTTAATTGGTGCTGCTTGCATGTACTGTAAGTAGCAGCGCGAGTTCTTAGGAATTCTACTGCATTTTGTTTTAATTTGTTTGGGCGACGCATTGAACCCCAGAGGAAAAGAGGCTCAGCATTGCTTTAAAGAAATAAATTATTTTCATCCCTACCATAACAAGCTGGAAACAGAAATGAGAAGCAATGAAAAATGGCTAATAATTGAACGAGAAGGGCAAACGGCAAAGAATATCTAAACGTTCCAGCCTTATGAAAAAGGAATATTAAATCTGGCATGTTGTGTCTGACTGCCGGAGAATCGCATTTAGCATTTAAAAGATGCTCTGCAGAAGTGAGAGCAAGGAGGCACACGCGGATGTAAAAATTCCTCCTTTTTGGCAGCAAAATGACGCTAGTCTCAGAACAGCAATTATACCAGGCCAATTTGCATTCCATTTGAGGTTAGCGTCTAGCCTAGTTACGAGTGTTTAAGCATGCTCTGGATGCAAAAATACTTTCCCCAGACAGCTATTAAGAGTTGCTGCACTGCTGCACATCAGAGCAGCGTTCTTCGGGCCTGGAAGATCCACAAACATTGTTTTATCTCTCCTCTAAAAGAGCGTGAGGAAGACAAATCCCACAGCGCAGAAAAAACAAAAATGCCAATCAAAACGTGGGTGCGAGCGAGCGTTCCGTGCACCGGACGATTTCCTAGAAATGAATTAGTGTGTGTGGGGGGAATCTACTTGATACACCCCAAGTCCACACCCGTAAGGGACGTGCCGTGGCAACTGCAGTGGACAGAGAGGCTCTGCCCTGACCTTCACAACCCATGTGTGTGCAGGGACACAAATCAGTCCAAGAAACTGCGTGCGATGATGGGACTCAGGGTCAGAGGTCTGAAGTACACCGCTTATTAATTATCTAAGTGGGTTCCTTCTATGGACGTGGGTGGGAAAGTGACCTCACTACACAAGCTTGATTACAGAACGTGGCTGTGGACTGACAGAGTCATCTGATGGCGCATTTCACGTAATTAATTCCAAGGGGCAGAGGAATGATGGCTCATTTATTCCAACCCGTATGTAGCAAGCGTGGGTGGAGGACTGCGGTCTTCCCAGGTCCTCCTGATGCAGCTGAAGGACTCTTCTCGACCCCTGCAATATGGCAATGGCAGATTTTGCCCACAAGCGGTTGCCACGCAGGGTGGGGACCGCGGCTGGGGGAGGGGAAGGGTTAACCCTCGACATGCTACAGTCATGGCAAAGATTGTCTTCATCACCCCTGCTGGAACCACAGGGAGTCTCTGCCAGGCTGAAGGATCGAGTCAGAGGGCACACGACCATCTGCCGAGACCGACGCGCGAAGGGAGGGTGAATCTGGCCCTCCCGCACACTTCCGGAAAACTGTGGCCACTCGCACATTATGCTGCTCCCACCTCCACCACGGGCACCGAGATTACTAAAGCAACCCCGTGCAGTGTGTGAAAACCGGCAAACGCAGAGATTCTGTCACTTCTCCAAGCGGATTTTCCCACACTTACAGTCCTTCAAGTCAGAAAGCTATTAACCTAGAATGCCGCTATTTGACTTGAAAGTAGTATTTGGATATTCTACATTAATTTAATCTGTAAGAGGAAAAGAAACGCCCAGGAAAATGCATCAGGCTTGCTGTCAAACTAAGTGCTGGAGATCACAGCCTTATGCTGGTCTTGGCTCAGCCCAGCGAGCCAGAAAGAAACAGCTGAGCTGCACTGAGGATTTCTGGGTGAGACCTTAGGAGAAATGCCCTTCCAGAATGATGTATGTCCACATAAACAATCGTTGCACGAATTCACTCCGCAGCTATCTCGACCAAAAGAAAACCAGCCATCAACAGCTGCAAATACCAGATTAAGCCAGTACTTGTTCCCGGGATGTGCGCCATGGAGATCGGCCTCTGACAAAGAACGTGGCTGTGACGGGCTAGTGCAGCCTCTGGACCCGCGACCAATTTGCAGTGGCTGACTCTGCCGCCGCCCTTTCCTTCCTGCTCTAGAACTTACCAGTTATAGTCAAACCAGGAGGCGTAGCTGGGGATAATGATGTGATTGGTCTGTTCGGTGACGTTGTCCTCCCCCGTGTCCACCGGGCGGTTCTGGTCGCCTTTGTTGGGGTCCTCATCCTCCTGAAGGGCGAAGGACTGTGTCAGCGGAAGGCAGCACCCACAAAAATGGGCAGCTGGTTCCCGTGACATTAGGCTGGAAGGACCACGAGCGGAATCGGCCATCCAAGCCACCTGGCCTGGAGGAAAGCTAGAATGGGACACCTATACAGGTCTCCCCCAAGGAGCAAACACCCATATGACAAGGAGATGAAGTTCTATGGTTAGGACAGCGATCGGCTGGAGCCTGTTTTGTGATGGCTCGGGGGGGGGGGTACAAATCAGCTACAATTAAACATTTACAAGCTATTTCCATCACTTCCTTAAAACACAAAGCAGAATAGGAAGTGAATCCAGAACTTGCTTAAAAGCCTGCAGCTGTGAATTCTTCGCCACTGAATCAATTTTTAAATCTTTGTTCTCAGCTGCTGATGCGGCTGCTACTAACAATATAGGGTTATTTTTACTGGCGCTTGATGATGCGTAATCAGGTGTTCTAGCAAAGTAACATTTCCTCCCTTTGCCAACAGGTGCTGCATCAGTGGAATAATCCTGGGACGCTTTTTTGTTAAAAACTTTCGATGAGGTTTTCTTTCCAGTGCCTATACCTGATATATACTTCTTGTTTATCCGATTGCCCAGTGCTTTGGCCAAGCTAATGCTAAGAAGTAGTAGTTTTAAGCTGGAAAAGATCAGGAAACCTGGAGGTTAAAGACAAGTAAACGAGATGGGGATCCTTCGGCCAGGTTATCTCATACTTTTACTGGCCTGAGATAAATAAGTAATCTAGTGAATGACATTAGTCCAGGCCTCCTGGCCTTTCACGGGGTCATCGTAAAAGTGGTGCTCAGGACATTCTGAGTACAACAATCCTCCTCTACCGTGGGGCAGGCAAGGTAAAGCAACAAGCCCACAAGGTTCCTTTCCCATTCCTACCAGAATGGCCCAGGCTCCATTTCCCAGGAGACGCGTGTTTTGGGCTGTAGCACAAGGGCCAGCCATTCTCTGACCAACACCCACCGAGGGTTTGGCTGGTCAGCCTCCCGAGAATCTTTGCGAAGCGCCAGGGAGAGCTGCGACACCTTTACAGCTACAAGGCTTCGGACAACGGAGGAAAAAGAATCGCTTCATGCCATTTAACTTCGGCCCAAAAGTAGCAAACCCCGTACCTTTCCTCCTGTTGCCACTGTCTCCTCATCCTGCTCATCTGCAAGACAAGAACCAAGAAGCGAATTCAGCAGATCCACACCTCCGATCCCATGCAAGCGCAGGCAGGAAAAAGCCTACAGCTCCCAGCATGCCCAGCCAACCGGGCTGAGTGGCCGGCCTTTTCCTCTGCCTCGACTAAGGAATGAATAAGCTTGAAACACGGTGCTGAAGGAGAGCTGGCATGGCATGGTGCTTCAGAGAGCAGGACTGCGACTCAAGAGGTCTGGGTTCTAGTCCCACGGAGCCGTGGGGCTCGCTGGGTGACTTTGGGCCAGTCCCTCACTCTCAGCCCAGCCCACCTGGCAGGGCTGTTATGAGGATAAGATTGAGAAGGGGAGAATGATGGAAGCTGCCCCAAGTTCCTTGAAAGGAAAAGGGAGGAAGGCCAGCCATTATTTGTGTGTGTGTGTGTGTGTGTGTGCACGCGTGCACGCGCGCATTTAAAACATCCGTATGTCGCCTACTGTGCCACAGGGCCTCTGGCAGAGGGACCCCTTAAAGGAAGCCACGGCTGTGGGCCGACAGGAGCTGGCGGGTTGCGTCTAGACACTCACAAGCGGCCCCCGCAAGGCGCAGTTGCTGAGTGGGGAGCCGCTCGTTCTAGCGTTCGGACACCCCTTCCTGGTCTCCGTTTCCGCTGCAGCGTCCCGTGGCTACGAGGCACGGCCGGTCGGACCCCGCCAGCATCGCGCCTGCCGCTGTGGGCGCAGCGGCAGTGGGGCTGGGGATGTGCCCAATACGTGTGCGTGCCTGCAGACGACGAGTCCCCCCAAGCTGAGCGCTCCCTCCCTCCCTCCCTGTGTGCGTGCAGTCCTCTTTTGGTGACCTAACCCACAGGGCTCCCAGCCTGACCGCCGGAGAGGGGAATGACCGAGTGCCTGCAGCGCGGCGTGTGGCGCACGGGCCGAGGGAAACGGTGGCCTGGCCTCTGCTGCCGCGTCATGCGCCTCAGCCAACACGGAGCCTGTCAGCCGGGCGCAGACGAGGACGTGCGCACGGAGGTCTTGTGCTGATGACGCCTGGAAGGCTTTGCAGAGGCAGCGCGCGTCTGTGGGCGAGAGGTGGCAGTCCTGTCGCTTGAGAAGGACGCGTTCCACGAGGGGCGCAGCTGTGGGGCTGGCTCGGCACCACACACCTGCTGCTGTGGGGGCATGGCTCCCTCCGGCCCCAGCCAGGGGATGTTCGGGCACCCTCAGACCTTTCCCAGAACACCCTGCCGCGATTAATGGAAGAGCCTTCATTCTTCAGCCCTTTAGAACAGAGCTGAGCGCCCCACGGCCCTGCAAGAGGTCTGGGCCTCCCTCACGCGAGGCTTTGCTGGCAGTGGCTGATGGGAATTCTGGTCAAAACCGCTGGAGAGCCACGAACCGGCCACGTGCGCTTTAGAAGACCTGGCGGTGGGCCAAGCTCCAGTTTGTTGTGGAAGGCTGTGCTTTGTGGCTCTCGGCCAAGTTACCTCACTTAAGGGTGAGCAGCACTGTTTTAGAAAACCCCATGCTGTGTGGGGGCTCTTTGAGACAGGCCTGGCCACTTGGCTGCCATTTTTAAATGCCTAACAGTGAGCAGCAGTTACCAAAGGAGTGGCAACATACGCCAGTCGTTTGGCAAACCCGGGCGACTTCGTCCTTCCGCTGCCTCCTTTTCGAATGAGAACCCAGAAAGGAGCAAGGATCAGCCTCTTGCAGAAAAATGCCTTAGAAACCCCTGGAACAGCCTGAGTTACAAAACCAGGAAAACATTAGTTTGCCAGTCGTAAAAGATGCTCTATTTGTGGACTGCCCCTTGGCACCTTTCCTGCCATATATTTCCTTCCTCATTTTTCATTTTACTTTGGGAAAATAAATGGAAAAAAGTTTAAAAAAGGGAAAAATGGTTTTAAAACCAAGCAAAGATCATGGTCGTACCTAGGTCTGCTACTGTTCCTCCTTTGACCGGAGTGTTTTCGCTGTCTTTCTTTGGGTTTACTGTAAAATTAAAGAATGGAAACACATCAAGCCATGCATTGTCTTCTAGAATACTGAACAGGGCGGCCACGTGGGGCAACAGCAGCCCAACCGCCTCCCAACTCATTCCACAGCCAGCCGTACGGTCCGCTCATTTTCACTGGGCTGTATCTGGTTTCTGGCACATGCCACCCGGCTGGGGGAACTTTTCTGCCAGTCCCAGAGCAGCCCAGCCCAGCCCGCCCCTGGAAGATGCTGCGAAGAGGGCTGGGGGGCCCTGTTCAACGGGGCGAGCTGTGCTGCAGCAGCTCACACAGTATCCCCAAACATCAGGCGGAGGCACATTCTCTGCGTGGCGCCTGGATCCTACCCACTACCTGCACTGGCCCAGAACCGGCAAATCCGGTCGGCACCCAGCTGATTCATTCCACCTGATACAGAGGGGTTGTCCCATTTTATCCTGCGCCTGATCGGCCAGCCTGCGCTGAGCGACCACGGCTGTTCCAAGGGCATCCAGCAAGCCTTGGGCTGCCCATCCACAGCCCCGGTCCAGACACTCATCAGCCCAGGCTGGTGCTGAGACAAGGCAGGCTACGCACAAGCTGAGCTGAGACGACAGACACTGATCCAAGAAGAGAGTTTTCAGCTCCAGAAGTGTGACAAATCATTACGGGGGGAGGCTGCCCTGCTATTCCGGAACTTTATATCCATAAGAAACCTTGTTTTGGCCGGCTGCTCTGAAAAACCACTCCTTCGCTGGAACGCTACAGGGTTTTGAGCGACAAGGGCCCTCTCCCAGGACTCACGGGCAGCAGCAGCTGAACGTCTCTGCCTCTGGCTGCGTGTCGCGCACATGCGACATCAAGGATGCCACGGCGAGGACGGCAGCCCGACACGCCTGCAGTGCCTGCTGGAGGCCCTTGTGGTGGTGGGTCGTGGTGTCAGCCGTGCGCTTTTTCTGCTCTGTGGCTGCGCACTGAAGTGCCGCGCAGTGCGGGAGAAGTGGGTAGTACCGCCGCCGTGAGCACCAGCGGCGCGTCCACGGCATGCTCCTCCTCTGCTCGCTGGACGAGTCCCTCTCTGAACTGCACACCAGTAACCAAAAGGGGGCGGCATGTTGGCGCGCATGGCCAGGGTCACACATGCGAACCGAGACAGAAGCAGGAGCCAGGCTTCTCCCCAGCTCCGCAGGACAGCGGGACAGAGCCCTGCGTCAGAGCGTGTGCGCTCGTGACACGCTGCACGAGCCGTTCCTTTCGGTGCTCTCGCAACGGCAGTTCGGAAGAGGTCAACCACGAGGGGGCTGCCACCAGCCAGCAGCCAGAAAGGGTCTGCTTTCTTCCGAGAGACCCCCTGCACGAGAGGCACCCTGAGTTCACCCCTGCCTGTTCCGGAGGCGGCCCTGTGCCTGGGCAGCGGTGGAGATCCGCTCAGCCGAGCTGGGAAACGCCGCCTGGCTCGCTGCAGCCGCCCAGAACGGCTGTGAAGGCCCCAGCTCCACTGTGGGCTGAACGGGACGGCAGCAGGCGACGCGGGGTGCCCTTGGTCACCAAGCGCGCTGCTCCCAAGACCGGCCAAGAATGCACTGCCAACACGCGGAGTGCTGGGAGCGCCATTCCTCTGCCCGAGAACTGGTGTGTCTCAAAGCTCCCCAGTATGTTTAGAGGAAGCGCATTTGCCGGAGAGGCGCCAGGTTCATCAGCTGGGAGAAAACGAGGTCTCCTGGCAGTGGGCTCACTGCTTACCTGTGACCCAATGACGGGTCTGAATATGCAGCCAGGGAGGCAGATTTAGAAGAGAGTGCGATACAACAGAGAGAGGAGTGACTGGCGTTCTTCTGGGGGGGCGGGGAGATTCAAGAACTGACAACTGCTTGAAAGGCACGCTCCGTGCAGCAGGTCAGGTCAAGCTGGGACATGAGGATGTGGCTTTAGGGAACTTAGAAAGAATACTGGCTTTTAAAAGGTGCAGCAGAAATGGGCTTTTAGGTTTGGAAATAAACTATGGAATTACAGGGGGGTCAGTTTGCTCCCACAATCCATGGGGGCAGAACATCTGAGCAGCAAGGAGTGCAAAGAGCCTCGAGCAAGAATGGAGCAAGATCAGGGAACGTGGCTGTAGAAACTCAGCCGTTAATTATGTGGATTAAACACGGCAGCTGGTTCTCTGCACAAGGACCAGCCCAGTTCCAGCAAGAATGCCGGGAAACAGCAACCGACCAGTATCAGACCAATGCAGTGTCTGAAGGCGAATGCAAGTCCTGGAGAAGGGGCTTTACGGATTTAGACACAGCTGAGCCAGGAGGTCAATACCGGGAAGCCCGTACCATTTTTAGGCAGTACCACTTCTTCTATGTTAGGCACTGGGGTTGGATCCTCCATGTCCTTGGTAAGATCTTCTTGCTCATCGTCTTCCTTTTGCCCTCGCCTTTTCCCATAGAGACTCGCTTGTCTGTGACAAATTAACCACAAATAACCACGACCAATTAACCACAAGTAACCTAACAGTTCTGCATCGGCCAGATCCTGCGCTATCACCAGGCCGTGTCTGAACCTTTGTGGGGTGGATGGCCTCCCTGGAACCCACGAGTGGATCCAGATGGTCTTGAAATGGCCTTCGAGGTGTTTTTGGGTCACTGATCAATTCCATGCCCACATCTGAGAATCCTGCAGTAGGGAATCATGCAGGGGGCTGTCAGCAGTCCCGCTCGACGACTCCCTGAGGTCAGTGACCTAAGACAGTGTCCCCAACCTGGTGGCCTTCGGAGGCATTTGGACCACGACTCCCAGAACTCCCACCCAGCAGGGCCACTGACTGGGAATCCTGGCTGTGGCAGCCCAAACATGTCTGGAAGGCACGAGGCTGGGGAGGGCTAATCGAAGAGCTATGCAGGCACTGGGGTGGGGTGGGACGGGGTGGGGTGGGACAACCCAACGTTGACCTGGATACAAGACATATCCTGCTTCCCGGGGAGGGTCACACACCTCCTTCCAGAGCATGGGGGAGCTTCTGGGTCTGGGCGAGAGCCATGCTCAGAAGATAATCTTTTTAACAGCTGCACTTGTCTTCTGTGCCCCGGAAAGCTAGTTACGTTGATTATCCCAATATCCTGTATGTAGCACTATCTTTGAAAACACGGTGGGAATGTACAGATGCGGTAGCGTGGGTTTTGTCTAGGCCTGATTCCAGAGCGCACAAAACACCTACTCTCGCGGTGCCATCTTTGCTGGCCACAGCTCCGTTAGATTCATGTTCGTTCTTTCTTCCCTTTCAAGCCCCCTGCAGCCGAAGGGTATGCTTCGTTCGCTATAACCCTTGCTCACCACGAACAGGCTGCTGTCCCAACCAATCAGCCTTTCTTCCCTGAACTACATTTGCTGTGATGCTGATAACTGCAGCTATTAGCTGCTTAAAGCGAAGGGCAGAGGAGCGGCCGATATATTTAAATATATGCAGCAAGCTTCTACAAAAAGGCAGCTGCCTTGATTACGGTGATCAAGTTGCAGCCTGGTAAACTCTGTGAAATAAAAAGGGAAACATGCGTATTCATGCACTCCGCACCTCAGCGGTGAAGCGGCCCTCAGAATGGCAGCGACGGCTGCGCCACGTTCCCCGCCACGAGTGGGAGGCGCCTTCCTCTCGGATGATCAAGGAACGGCACTCCGCATGTGACATTAAAGATTCATGCCATCCACTCGAGGAGGTGGCGTGCGAGCGAGCGAGCTCTGAGTCAAGCGGCGCTGCCAGCTCATTTCTCCCGTCCTCTCCCACGGATCGTTCCGGGAGAGAGACCACCTCCAGTGGCGAGGTGCGCGGACTACTCACCCCTTCTTCCCAGCCTTCTTCCGCAGCTCCACCGGGGTGGGAGGGGGCGGGGGCGATGGGGAGTGCTTCCTTTTCCTGGCGCTCGCCGCGGCCTTCCTGTCCCGCCGTTCTGGGCTACGGACTGGCTGTACGGAGAACGCAAGTCGTCAGTGCCGGCTGCCCGCTTGCCGTCACGCAACATACCCTGGGCAGCACCGGGGCTGCTACCGGACCTGGCACCACAGTCCCGTTTTCTGCTCTGCTTGCCATCTGTAACTCCGCAGCGGTAGGGCGCCACGGCCATGGAGGTGCCCCCCACCATTCCACAGCACTGAGTGCCCCCACAGCTGGGGCGGGGAGGGAAGGAAACCCGGCCCAGGGCTCAACTGCCTGCGATTCCCTCCTTCCCATTGCAACCTGGCAGTTTTGCGATATACTTCATCTTCTTTACCTCTTCTTTTAATACTCACTGGCTCACATAGTAAGCAATTTGTTTACATTTATAGTTTGAATTAGACTGCTCCATTCATTTCCGCAGCTTATCTTGCACATTATTGTAGCATTCCTTAAATTTTAACTACACCTTTTACAGATTTTATTGCAATTCTGCACTGTGTTATGTCCATACGCTTTAGAGCTGTAATATTACATTTCTGTAACATTACATGTATACACTTCTCTAAACCATCCACTGCATGGTAGAACTGCTTTTAATTTCTCCATGAAGTTTCCTTGGCTGTTTGCATTCCCAAGAATTCAAAAAGGTTAAAAAGATCCAGTTCTGAAAATTCCCCAGGCCCCTAACTACTCTTAAGCATCCTCTGGGAAAACCATCCCGGGGTTATGTCACAGAGTTACGACTCCCATAGGGTGCTGACAGCTGGCTCTGAATGTACACCTGCATCCAAACACTGGTTTTTGACTCAGTGGAATACTGCTGGCTCAGGCAGTTCTAAACTTCAGATACCCTTGGTAAAGCAAGACTTTTCCAAGATCAGCATTTGTGACCTCAGTATCCCCAATTCGGAACCAGGCGTAGGCCAGATCTGTAGGCATGCACCCCCCTGCCCCACCGCTCGGGCAGAGGGCAAGCGTTTGTGCCCTTCAAGACTGCGGGCGGCAGAGCTGCTCCCTTGAGCGAACCCTGAAAAAGAGCACCCCGGGAGAAGGCGAGGCTGGAACGCGCTATAAGAACTGCGCCCATGAAAGGAATGCAGAGCACCAGCGGCCTCCGGGCAGAAGGACAGACCCACGACCACCTCCTCGGTTCCAGCAGAGCAGGCAGTGGGAAGTTTATGAAAAGGTGTAGTCAGATTAACAAAACTGTTAGCGCCACAGTTAAGCCTTCTGCAGAAAAGGTGAGTCATCAATGCACTGCACACATTGATCTCTAGGAGGACGCTGCCTTTCCTGGAGGCTCGGGCACCCCAAGCCCAGAAGGGACACGCAACCCAAAACGGCCGCTGCACAGCCACGATCCGCCACAAGACACAGCAAGCGCTTACTTCTTCGCTCTTCATGTTTATATAGATCCGCTGGCGAAAGGTGACCAACTTCTTGTTCTCATCCACCTCGTAATCCTCCTCATTCATCCACTCGTTGAACACGTCTGTGTCCAGGATCCATTTGGCGTGGACCTGCAAATGCAGCGACACCTTAAGGACAAGCCCTTCATGCTGATGTTGCCGCAATGAATGAATCCCGGCCAGGGAAGTGCCTCCGAATTTGCCCACGTGGGCTTAAAAACCATCGTCTGCCTGCTGCCTGCTTTACGGACGCAGGCAGGAAGCCCGCGGAGGATGAAGGCACCCCGTCTGTCACCCTTATTTTTCTTCCCTTGCCCAGTTAACCCAAGATAAAGACTGTGACAGTTTTATGAGCGCGCAGCACCTGGCGGCAATAAATAAAATAACTGCCATGTCGGACTGAAGAGGCGGGAATGTATTTCCACAGGCTGGGTCCCACCGCGAATCTTCAAGCTCAGGACCGCACGGGGCATCTCTCCTGGAATCGTGCAGAGATGCTTGGGACCGAGGCAGCTGATCGGGGTGTAAGAGGTCAAAAGCAATGGCGGTTACCGAATAACGCCGCCGGGGCTTGAAAATCGCCTGGCGCGAGCAGCACGGGCAGGACCGAACGAGCCCCGGCCTGGACTGCCCCTCCCACTAAGGGCATGGCTCCATCTCCAGGTAGGACGAGGAGAAGGCTGCCTGGAGACATGCTGCTGCCAGCCCGTGTCAGGAATACTGGCCTGCACAGGCCCAGGGTCCGGCTCAGTCTAAGGCAACTTCCTGTGTTTCCAGCATTCTCTCTACCCACACTCAGTGAGAAGATGGAAAGATGCGCAAAGGATGAGCCGACTCCAAGGGAAGGGGGAACTGGCAGGAGAGGAGAGGGCAGGAGGGGACATCCAGGGGGCTTCCAGGGAACAGCCACAACCTGGGGGTCCAGGCACACGCAGTTTGTGCAGAAAGCCCTGGTTCAGTTGCCAGAGCCGCCCTGCAAGAGGGGGTGGAGCCCGGCCTCCAGAAAGAGGTACCAGAAGACCACTTCTGCAGAAATGCCCTCTTGGCACAAGGGGCCGTTAATACTTTAGGCTGGTCGCAAAGGCTGCCTTCCGTGCCAACCAGCTCCAGGGGCTCTTAGATGTGACTGATCGTCTGGATCCCTTCCGGCTGGAGTTCAGGCCTGGTTTTAGCATGGAAACGGCCTTGGCCACCGGGTATGGTGACCTGTGCTGGAAGAGACGAGGGGAACGCGAGTGACCCTGCTGACTCTCCGGGACCTCTCAGCGTTCTCCAACACCCATAGCCAGGCTATCCCTCGGGGGAGCTCCCTGGTGTGTGCTGCTGGCGGTAGGCTGATGCCCGCAGCTTTCCACCTCCAGCAGGTGAGGCTGCGGATGCGCTGGCGACAGCCAGTGCCTGGCCGCAACCAGAGACTGGATGAGGGCTAGGAAACTGAGACTATCCGAGCGAGACAAAGACGCTGCCGCCGCCGGGTGGTTCCTCTGACCAGATGGGGGGTGTTCCACCTGTTCAGGCTGGGTGGGGTTCATTCCCCCTGGAGGAGCCGCTCTGTACCTGGGGCCCTCTCAGAGCGGTCTTTGTCACGTGAGGTCCAGGTGGCCTCCACGGCTTGGAGCACCTTCTGCCAGCTTTGGCTGGAGACCAATCTGGTTGGGCAGGGAAGCTCAGTTTCAGTAATCTGGGATCTGGTACGCTCTAAACTAGATTACTGCAATGCACTCTATGTGGGGCTGCCCTTGGCAAGTGCTCAGAAGCTGCCTCAGCTCACGCAGAACGTGGCAGCCAGATTAAAAACCGGGACCTGCGCATCTGCAGCCCAAGACCATTTCTGGCCGGCTTCTGGAGCTGCTCAAGGCCTTGGTTTTAACCTCTATGGCCTCACATGGCTTGGGACCACAATTCTTCATGGGGTGCCTCTTCCCACTGATATCCACTTTAGCACCTGGGGCCTTCTTGAGTGCCAACCCCAACAGGGAGCATTTTCTCTAGGAGGGGCCAGAAGTATGGAATGGCCAGGCTTGCAGAGCACTGGTGCCAAGCTGGTCATCTTTGCGCTGCCAGGTTACGATGGCCCTCGGCATGCAGAGGCTTTTAAAGATGCCGATGACCCAGGGGCAGGAGGGGATTACTTATCCCAGGCGTCTTTCTTTTATGGGTTCATTCTTCGCCTTATCTTTTTAGTTGTTTTTAATCTTTTACATTTCTTCTGTTACACTTTTATGGAATTTAAGTGTGTCGCTTTTATGAAACGTTGTAGAATGCCTAGAGAACGTCAGTTACTGGATGTTAAAGAAATTAAATCAAGAATAATAATCAGGAAGACAGTTCGCCACATTTAGTTTTGTGTGAAAGAAGGGGAAACAGACGAGGTGAAACTCACAACTGCCTTGTCTAGAACAGAAAGCAAAGGCAAACATTTTCAAGGTTTCATTTGTTTCTGTTTCAAATAACGGAATGGGAATTCAAGGACGGGGTCTCAGGTGTGAGAGCTCGGCCTTTCCCGTGGACTGAAGCTGCCACCTCTCGTGTACCTTCGCCCTAATTCTTGTCACACGATACTTTTCTTCTGCAGATAATAGGCAAATGGATTAATTAATCCAGGAAGAATGCTTCATGTCGCCACACAAATAAGCAGAGCAATTATCTGAAAAGCAACACTTCCATTATAAGGATTTCCTTCTTCTCCTTCAACAAAGGAAACCAGCCTCAAATGCACAAAGAGCTCTAATCATTCTGAGCGCATTAATCAAGCTGCCAGTGTCATTCAACAGCCCCTGGAAAATTATGAATCTTGTCACAATACGGGCTCCAAACCTTTAATCAAACTGCTCTTTTCTTGCCTAATAAACAAGTTCTTATATCTGGTATTAGAGCTTGTAAAAGATATGCCAGGCCTTAAAACAGCAAGCCTTTGCCATACAGTAAAATAGGTTTCCCAATTTACTATTACATCTTTGATTCAAGGTTCACAATGGAAAATTACCGTTTGCGAAAGGTCATTGCAATGCTGCAGTGATGTGTTAAAGCCACAACAGTGCTGAAGCCCAGGCACCTCTCTCCTGCCTGGCTTTCACCTACCCCTCCCAGCGGAGAAAAGGCTCCTCTCTCACTCCTTGCAGAAAGAACGTGGCAAATGCCCTCCAGCTCGATGGCTCTGGAATGGAAGCTGCAGCCGTCTGGGACGCCTGCACGAAGCCCGAGCGGCCCTGCCCTGGACCAAGCAGCAGCCACCAGGGAACAGAAGCGGAGAACATTTTCGGGTGTTTGGTAGCATTTTAGCAGGGGCAACTCCCCAACGGGAGTTAACCCTTCAACCACAACACTGAAAATCTAGCAGATAACGGTGCCCCTTGAGACACACGTCACCTGTGCACTCAGCCTGTGCATTCCCCGGCTGACCACGGCTCAGTCTCTTACGCACAGTCTCCCCATCTGTAACATGGGAATGCAGAATCTATTCTGGTTTGCTTAATATAAAAGTGGACTGCAGAAAGCACGTCACTCTCGTGACCCCAGCGCTTCTAGGCTCAAGGAAGACACTGTACCTAAGGCAGCATCTTCTTCTACATCCCGTCTTCCCAGCCACTGATACCAATTTCACCAGCTGGCGATGCCCAGTTCTGTCTCACCCTGACAAAGCTGTGACTGGGGCTCCTTTGGTGCCGACACCCCAGTGGTGCCTGCCTCTGCCTGCCTCTGATACGGCCGGAACTAAGCCAAGGGACGAACCTGCCATTTTCAGCGTTTCTCCACTTTTACACCCATCTGCTGTAGTTTTTGTTGTTGTTGTTGCAAATACTGGCTTTATTTAACATTGCTTATCTATGTTTTGGATTATTGTAATAAATCACTAAGAGAGAAGTTCAAAAATAAAAGGGCATTTTCCAACTTCACCGCTATCACTCGAAGAACACCTTTTTCTGATAGGGCTAGCTTTAGGTGGCACCTCTAAATCGAGTATTTGCATCTTTCTCATTCTGCAGGAAGAGAATTGTATTCGTTCAAAGACAACACACATGGGAGTGGAATATTCTGAAACTATTATCACTTCCACGCAAGGGTGAAAGAACACACTCTCACCTTCCATGGTTTCTCTGGAATGGGAGGTTCCTCAATTTCTGCTTCGATATCAGTAGCATGGATCCAAGTATCATAGCTAAAAGTAAAAGGAGGAAACCGATTCCTTAGACAGAGCAGCATGGGCATAATAGCTCAAATAACTTTCTTTCAAGTGATTTTTGCACTGTGCCCGTTAAGATTTTTAAATATAAAACCTGATTTCATCCATAGGGGGCATAATTGTTATGCCAAGGACACAGAAGACTGCCAGAAAATGGGGTCACAGCGCTGAATGGGGTGTCATGAAATGAAACGGAGATCCTGTGCCAACGTGCAAGGCGGCAAAAGACCCCAGTAAAAGGCCTTCTTGACTCTTGGTTCAGCGAACGGCTGCTCTCATCAAAGCATCCAAAAACCACACAGCAAAGAGTGTGACAAAAAGAATTAAAGGAACACGACGTGTGCCCATGGAGCAGGGAGCAGGTTTTGCCAGTGTCGGAGACGGTATAGGTATAATGTTCAAGCATCGCCTGCACATCAAACCGTGGATGTGACGGGTACGTGAAGGAACACCTAACCAAAAAAAGAATGTCTGGTTTATGAACGGCTGCCAAGACAGGCTCTGACACCTGAACCGGTCTGAGTGCCACAGTCTGAGCGAGTGATCACAAACCAGCTTGGATGCTGGGACAGCTCCTCCACCGGTTCTCACCCCTAAGTCCCACAACGGGTTGGGGGGCAATTTCTGCCACTCCCAGGGAGCACACTCGGTGGTCAGGGATGATAGGAATCACAGCTCATCACCCTTCGGGGACCCATGATGACCTCACGGTTCTCCCAGAAGGCTCTGGCAATGGATCAAAGGTATCAGTACAGCCGGAAACCATGCATTTCAAGCAGACGGGCAATTTCTCCCTTTAGCCTGTGAAGCAAAGGGGGAAATATCTGGAAACGGGACATGAGCTTTCCAGCCCTTGTCATTACCTGTCTGGGAAATAGCCCCAATGCACAAGAACCTGTTTATCCTTTTTCATCACAGGCCTTAACCATTCTTCTGCAAGAGAGAGAAATACCATCAGGTGAAGAAAACACGTTTGTTTATTTCTAAATTGCTCACTGCAACACGCACTCTGCAGGGCTGCCCTTGAAGACTTCCTGAAGCTGCTTGCTGCCGCTTCTGCAAGACGCAGCAGCCAGATGAACATCTGGGACCGGACGCTCTGCCACGGGAGATCAGTTCTCGCCTGCCTTCCATGCATGGCTGCCCACACACTTCCGAGCCCAATTCAAGGTGCTGGTTGTAACCTGTCGAGCCCTACCTGGCTTGGGACTACAGCACTTGACAGAAGTACTGCAGCTGCTGCTGCTGCCTCTCCAAATCGATCTACCTGTGCCCCACAATCCACACCTGGAGCTTTTCGCCCAGTGGGCCACCAGCCGAGGTTTGGTGGCAGCAGCGGAGGGAATACCTTCTCGGCTTCCCTGACGGTGGAATGTTCTCTCCAGCAAGGCCAGCCCTGCGCCAATTTCCTTTGGGCACGAGCCTTAAGGCAGTCCTCTGGGCTGAGCAGCTGAAGGATGTCTTTTTTAGTGATATTCTATCTTATGTTTATTTATTCTTTTTGTAAGCCGCCCCGAGGCTTCAGCGATGGGTGTGGCATAAAAATGTTATAAATACATAAATCAAATCAAATCAAATCAAATCAAAATAGAGTTACCTAACGGTTTTATGCAGACACCCTTCCTGGCCTTTTAACTGTATTCTATACCCTGCTTTAAAAAAAAAAAACTGAACTATTTTTAAATTTTGGAACATGGAAAAAATCATGATACTTTTATTGTATCATGTTGTTCTTAAGGAATTACTGAAAATTTGCAAGAGCTATTGGGCAGGATATATAAATATCATATTTAATAAATAAATGTCCATTTCTTTTCTATACAACCCAATGGCCAAAGTTCACTAGGCAGTTACCTTGCCTGGTGGTTAGTGATAATGAAAACCGTAAAATGCAAACAGATATACGGTAACAGTTTAAAATTAGTCTGAAATGGAAGGAAAAACCAAAAGAAAACAGCTGCAAAGAAAACTTTTAAAATACAGAAAAGGGTTTAAAACAATAGAAGCAGAAAGCTTAAACTTCCTGGGAAAAGAACAAGGTCTTCACATGTCACCGGAAAGACAGGTGGGCTCAGGAAAGGTCCTCTGGGAAGCGCGCTCCACTCCTGGGTGCCACGGCAGGCAAGGCCCTCTCCTCAGAAGCCTCCTACTCCGCTTCCTTTGGCTCTCAGAGAAGGACTTCCTGAGGATGATCTTAGGGCCCAGTCAGGGATATACGGGAGGAAACAGTGCTTCAGGGCACCCAGCCCCAGGCCGTTCGGGGCTAAGGATGCCGTCTCTGGGACTTGGGGATGGAACGGCAAAGACGGCACCTCCTACGATCACTTTGCCCCATCCCTGTTGCCCCATTTTGGTCCAGCTGAAGTTTCCAGACCGTTCCTGAAGGCAGCCCCAAACGTAACACCTGGCAGTAGTCCAGCAAAGGGGTCACCAGAGCAGGGGGGGCGGTAGCGAGCCTCTCCCAGAACAGGACGGCTACTGCGCTTCCAATTCAGTGGTCCAGCTACAGACGCTTCAGCCCGACATGCACCATCTTCGCTCGTCTGAAGCGAGGCTCACGAGTCACTGCGCCAGAGATCCATCTGATGAACGGCAAGGCCGGCTACGGAGGGCTCGTGGCCAGCAACGAGGCGGAACCAGCTGGTCACCTTTCCCGGGGTGGCTTTGAACAGCCCATTTCTGAGTTGTGCAAGGTGTAAGAGGCGGCAGATTTGGGACGAGAGAAAAGGGAAAGGAGGACACATCCTTGCACATGGTAAACAGGAGTGACGTCGCTATCCAGAGAGCCTTTGGCGATAGGGCGGCGTACAATTACGATAAATAAAATGATAAATATCCTAGCCCTGCGCATAGCACGGGATGGTGGCCATGCAACCTCCAGTCCCTTCTGCCGCACTCACGACACTCCCTTGTCTTATAAAACAGTGCGCACCATTCGAGCGAAGCATTCATTTCTCAAGACGACAATTAAATCTCCAATTACTCCAGCAAAGCTAATATATCTAACCCCTATTAAAATGGTTTCTGCTCATTACGGTAACGGTCAAGAAATGAGTAGAACATTCTGTGCACGTTGCTTCTGCCATGATGCGTGCAGCCCTCACTGCTGAATCTCAATCCACGGCTGCCTCAATTCTGGCTGGAAAACCTATTCAGCAAGTTACATGCTTTCAAACATACTTTAAATAAGTTTTATTCTAGCTGTTTTTATGAGCATCCAATGTGTTAGCAAACTGGGGTTTCCAAAGGAAGACAGGACTCTAAATCTGAAGACTTTCGCAGGGTCAAAGGCATTTTCCATTATGAAGGATCCCGCAGATTCTGCACTGGGTGTACTAACTGCTCTGTGCAATTTTGAATTTGTTGAACCTGCCAAGATGCCTTATTTAGATGCTTTGAAGGAATAATAATTATGCTTTTAACCATCAGTTGTGAAAGGACATAAACAGGAATGCTTCAGGATCTTGCAATGCACAACAGAGGAAGGTGACGGATGCGTGAACCAGCACAAGTTTGGCTGCACGGCTCGATTTTGATGATAATCTTGCAATCACTGAGCAGGCCGGAGCACTGGGGCGAGCGGGCATGGGAGCATCGCAGAAGGGAGCAGAGGCTGCAGCGCACCCGCTCGAGTTGGCGTTTCCAGGCAGCTTCCATGCTGTGGCCTTTCTCTGGGCTCTTCCCTCAACACCCCCTTCCTCAGTTAAGACCCCTGAACTCCTCAGGATGCCTACAGGCCGAGACCCAGGCCAGGACTGCCTCTGGTCTCTCACCAGAACTGGCTGTCCAGCCAAGCCAAGCCCGTTTTGGGGGTAACCGCACACAGGACTGGCTGAAAAGAACTGAGCGTTCTTCCACGTAAAGGATGCGGAAGACGGCCTTTGAGGGAGACTTCATTCCCAGAAAAAGGAAATGCTGTTTCCGAAGTGAAGAATCCTGTCCTTCCGCAGGAGTGGAGGCTGACAGCTCAGAATTCCAGGCCGACGCAGGCCCAGGACTTCTCAGTACGGTGCCCAAGTGCGTCGGGACACGCGATTCCCCCCACCAGATATGCAGGCGTAGGTTTCCATGCAGGTCACTTTCATGTGCTGAAAGCACTGTAAGGTCCCAATCCTCTACATTACAAGAGACAAGTCTTTATCCTCCGATTTTTTTAGCAGCCGTCTTTCAGCTGTCAGAAAGGAGCACAGCATCCATCTCCTCTTCCCTTGGTTTATTTCCACAGAAGAGGTCAGTAATTTAACAGAATCACCGAATATCAACAAGCGCCAACTGTGATGCAGTGGTTAAGAGTGCTGGGCCAGGGAGCTGGGAGGACCGGCTTCTAGTTCCCATTCAGCCATGGGGCTCCCTGGGTGGTTCTGGGCCAGCTGCTCACAGGGCTGCTGCTTGGAAGATACGGTAAAATGGAGCGATCTGAGCTGCCTTGGCTTCCTCACAAGAGGAAAAGATGAAATATAAATCCAATGTAGTAACAACAACAGAAACTACGCTAATGTATGATTTGTCTGCATAAGCGCTTCCTCTCCCCAAAATAACTACTGAACATTCTCAAAGCATGCATTCAAAAGAAGCATTAACTGTGCTACAGAACCAGCAAGTAGCTAAATTAAGCGATCCCAAGGCTGCAGAGTCCAACAGACACGAAACAAAACAAGCAGGGCTTGGCCTGTGACGGCTTGGGCATTTTGTGCTGGCGCCCAAAACCGTTTCTCCAGTTCCCAAACGGACTCGTGGGTGGAAAAGGGCTGGGCACCTGATCCAGATGGCCACACAGGTGCGCTTGTCACCACCATAATGGCGGCCTCGGCCCACTAACGATCAGGCGGCAAGCCTTTTCCACACTGCACGACACCAACCTTGGCTATGTGCCTGATTTTGAAGTGCTCGTGGCAAGATTTAGGGGAATTGGGGAGCTTGTTTTGAAGGACTAGAAACTGTATTTTTCACTTGTCGAAGGAAAGAAGGGACACTATCCAATACACCAACACAGAGAAACCTACCTGGAGCCATGAAGTGCTCCTGCACCGAGGCGATGGAAGGGCTTTCCCACCCGCCACCCCGGGTGACGTGGAGAGGGGAACCGCACTCTCCCAGGGGGAGTGAGCGGAGGCAGAGGTGCCGAGACCCGCGCAGCAAGGACAGGCGCATGAGAGAGACACCAGTGCGTGCCACTTCACCCCTCCCACTGCCACGGCCCTGGGGCGCACGCCACGCAGGAAGGAGAGATGGGCAGGTGCCCGGGACAAAAGACGACTTCAGGTAGCACCGGAATGGCATTCAAGCTTTCCCAACAGCTACACAAAACCACTGCTGGAACGGTGCAGTGGATCGCATACTCCACCACGGGGCACAAAGAACTGGGCGCACGCAGATGCTTGCGGTGCACAGATCAACAGTGCCACCTGCTGGGGCTGCGCCATGGTCACACAGCCCGTGATTACTTTGCTCAACTTGGAGGGCCGCCCGTCAGCGTAGCCTCTCTAAGTGGCTCACGGAATGGCATTCGGCGAAACCGAGGCCGCTTCCAGACAGAGAAACACGGAGCGGTGTGCGCGCCAGTGTAAACAGCAGCAGCGCTCAAGCCACCTGGCATTCCCAGCGCTCCATTCAGAGCGCCACCGAACCGATGTGAACCACGCGGAACTTACCTGCGGGGAACGAAACCATGGAAGCAAACGACAGCCCTAACTAAAGGATGCTAAATCGGCTCCAGCTCTTTGCAGTCCACTCGCCACACCCGATGCTCGGGAGAAACCAGCAGCTTTCACAAGGACCAGCACCTGAACACCTGTGGGGAAACCTCCCACGCACTGCCTGAAAGCATCTCTGCGGAGCGGCCTCACTTTGGAGACTGCAGGTGCTTCTGCATGGAGCAGGTACTCCAGAAAGAGGCCGCTTCTTCACTTATTTGTTATGCAGCATCCCCGTGAAGTAGCCATTCGACTGTATCTGCCTCTCTTTCTTCCACCTCTTTTACAACGGCAGAAAATCAATCTTTTTGGCTTTTGAAGGAGTGGAATAGCAGCACTATTATTCCCACTTACAGAGCTGGCTCACTGTGGGTTCAATGCGCAGCCTCCAATCAGGGGGTGCGCCACGCTGTGTGCAGACATCCATTGTGGGTAATTTGAGGGTTTAAAAAAACAACTCTCGCATAATCCTCAATTGGGACAATGGCTACGTCTCGTTTAACCCTTGAACGAGCCACAATGGTCAGGCTTGCACGACGCAAACGCAACCCACATTCATGCGGGATCGAGGGCTGCGCGTTCAAAATGGTGGGTGCGTGCCTGCAGTAGGGGCCTCAGTTCTTCCTCTGTGTTGTGTGATCCAGCCCTGGGTGGACAAAACAGGCACAACCACGGCAGGGAGAGGGGTCTTCTGGTGACACAGCTGGCGATGCCGCATGATTTCGATCTGCAGTGCTGCTTTCCTTCCTCAACTGTTTTCCAATTTGAAGTTGCTAACTCAGGGGAGATCCCGAAGGAAGGCACGGCCAGGGACTCTCAGAGCAGTTTCGCCTGCATTTTAAAATATTCTCTCTAATGCAACACTGGACACGTAAACAAATAAAATCAAGCATGAAGTGGTGCGACAGTGATCTCTCGCTTCCTCCCTCTTGCAGAACAAGCTTTCTGCTGCTTCTGGAACTTATGCTAGTTTTAAACAAGCCGCACTCTGGCAAAGAGGGTGGCTTTCCTCAGCTCTGCATCTTAGTGAACGGCCTTAGCTGAGGAATGCTTACGCAGAAGTGCATCCCACTGAATGCAGGAGGATGTCCTTCGTGCCTCCCAAAATACTGCAGAATCAAGCTACAAAAGTGGCCCGGCTGTGGTCCCAGGGCTGCTTCTGTCTCCCCCGTCCCCTCAGCCTCTCCGATGAGCCAGCTGGTGTGAATCAGATCTCCCCAGTCTTCTTCAGAACCCGAACTGCACATAGAGTCCAAGTCAAGGCGAATGGGAGATCGCAATGTCTTGGTGGTGCCTAGCAGGGCTCTGGCGAGGCTGATGGGCGAGGGATGGCAGGCGCAGAAAGGCGGCAAACAGGGCGCGGAGGCAGGGAGGGCAGCGGTGGGGAAAAGCTTCTGCTATTCCAGAGACTGGAGCATCACTGGCTTACGTGAGGGAATTCTCCCTGACACTCCTCTCTCCAATCCGTCACTAAGCATGTTGTAAGCCGCCCCGAGGTTTCGGCAAGGGGCGGCATAGAAATGTTATAATAATAATAATAATAATAATAATAATAATAATAATAATAATAATAATAATAAGCTGTGAGAGCAGCGCTGGAACTGCTCCTCCTCTCTCTGCAGGAGCAGGCATGGCCCTGCTCCGCAGTGTGGACAAGCACCTGGGTTTTCCTGGGAGAAAGAGTGCTCCATTTGGTGCCACACAGAATAGTTTTCAATCCAGTTCCAGGCCATGAGGCACCGTGGATGCTTCACTCGCACGGAAAGGCCAGGGTGCACAAGCGGAAGAAGGCGAAACATAAAAGGTTTGAGGATGAGGCAGGATTGTGCAAATGGCTCTAGCCAGAAGGCCCTCGCTTTAACACACTCGGTCACTGTATATGTATTTCTTACACAACTCTACACTGCCTCTGTGGGACGGCACCAAGATGCGAGGGAGAATTAATTGCCATTCAATGCATTAAACTTCCAAGAGTTCTGACTTCTTACACCCGAAGGCAACTTCCTGCCGCTCCCCTTGCTTGTCTTTTAGTTCTTCCTCTGCATTTATATCCTGCCTCTTTCTCCTGTGAGGACTCCAACACAGCCTACGTGCTCCATGTTATCCCCACAACAGCAACCCTGTGAGGTGGGCTGAGCTGAGGGGCCACGAGGGGCCCAAAGTCACCCAGCGAGTGCATGGCAGAGCGGGGACCAGAACCAGCTCTCCCCAGCACCCCCCTCCAGTACTCACCACCACCACCACAAAATGGCTACTGGGCAGGCCCGCTGGCTCTGAGCGTATCAACAGCAGTAACAAATACACATTTGTACACTGTTATATTGCAGACATTAAGTTGTTAGGACAAAGATTTATTTAGATTTATGACACTCTGACTTCCCCGACAACTTTTACTCAGAGGAACAATTGCTTGAGCTTGGTAAGGACAATCAGTAAAATCACTTTGAAGGACCGACATATAAACCAAACGTCTCTAACCTTAACCCTGATCCTGCCCATAACCCCAAGAACTGCCTTCTCCACTGCCGAAATCAAGCCTGTAAGCTGTGTGGGGCAAGGATCCGACCTTTGCTTCCATTTTTGAACAAAGCGTCCTGCATACCGACAGTTCAACTGCCCAGTTAAGGTCTGTGGGAGCTTCTGTCGCCCAAACTTGTTGCAACTTGCCCAGGGAGAGCTCCAGCAAGTACCAGAATTTTCCACATTTTTGACAGCTGGCAGGGCTGAGGTGAGAACAGAGGGGGAGAGAAGGAACCATGTTGTCAGCCAAAAGGGGCTGAGCGCTGACGTCAGAGACCTGTTTGAAGCTGTGGAGGGAAGGAATTATGGCTGAGAAGCTGCTCTGCTCTGTAGGAACGCAATTTTTGCAAATTTTTTCTCTGCCGATCGGAGCTCAGCGGGAGTGAGAGGAAGAACCTACACAAAGACGACTTTCCACCTCTACAGGAAAAGACCTGCCTGCTTCTGTTTTTCACAAAATGTGGCAGTAAAGAACATTATATGAGATTTTTTCCTGAAATCTTGATATTCATTTCACAAGGCCAAAAGAACTGGAACAAAATAGGACATTCGGACCATTTTTATTCTGGTTCAAAGACCCCTGAGGCAGCTCACAATGTACATTCATAAAACAAAAATACAAGTAGCAAATAGGCACGTTTTACCTTCATCCAGTGAGGTAGGAGCAGGATAAATATGATGGGTGGCCTTAGATTTGTCATCTGTGACGGTGCCCTAAGAAAAAGCAAGGGCAGAGACGGCGTGAGAAGGACGCCCGAGCATCTGTCCACGCATCGCTTCCTCTCCCAGGAACATGCCCGGCTGGGCGCTTGGGATGCTGCCGACAGGAGGCACCTCCTGGCCCTGACGCCTCTGTGGTGGTGACTGCAGCCCGACAGACTGGACTGTGTGCGAGTTACATACGAGTGGCTTATAATTGCTCTCCGGAGTAGCAGCCCAGCTAGTTAGCAACCACAGCGGCACAACGTCTGAAGAAAGGAGTCTGCGGGATGGGGCAGGATGCCAGAGCGGGGCAGGGCCCGGGCAGCCGCTGGAACAAAGAGGCAGTGTCTGCATCCGGGCGGACGGCAGATGTTCCTGCCTCCATGGCCATCTTGCCGGCTTTTCGGTTTCCTGACTCGCCTCTGGGCACAGAAGTATTCTGCCTTTCTCATAGGGATACCCAGTATTTCAGGCGCTTGATCCAACTGAATGTTACCACAGTTTAAACTAGTCATGCCCGGACTGAGTCCCAGTAACAGCTGCTCAAGTCAGGGTTGCTTTGAGAAGAGCGAGGACTCATTTTCAGCTCCTCGTCTTTCAATCTCATGAGGAAACTGCTGATAGCTGAGCAAAACCCTAAGACACGACAGCAAGCAGTGAAAATAAGAGAATGGTCTACATTGCTTCCTTTCTCTTCCCATGCATAGAATATCCATCCATCCATTAATCCAACTAAGCAAATAAACACAGGGCAATCGCCAGGATCTTCACATGCCAGATAATTTGTTTTATAAAATAAGTGAACTCCCAGCTTCCTTTTCTTGTACTTGGAATGGCTGACTTATTTTAGTACTGTATATTTAAAAGATTTGGTTACTTATTTAGTTTAAGTTGTTACCCTCTTTGGGAGTGATGAAATAAAAACAAAAGCTCCTTTTCAATGGATTCTTTTCCAAATGGATATTTGAAACACTTTTCCATGCCACCAACTTAGTTTAAATGACACTTACTGCTTAAACCAACTACATTACATCGCTATTGGGTAAACCAACCCTACCGAGCCATTTCTCAAGATGTGAAAACCTACATGGAAGCCAAAGGAAGGCTTACGAGTTTTTCTATTTAATCAGCAAGCTGTTTCCTACATTTCATACCCCTTCTGGGAACACTTTTACTTAATGTTTTAATTTAATCTAGGCTGACACATCGCTCCTTGCTCCGAACAAAGCAGCAGAAGACAACGTGGTCTCCCTTTCAGGGTTCCTGTCATCCCCTTGCATGCCACGGTAAATTTAGAGGTCACAGAGGTGCAACACGGAGGAGCTTCTAATCCGGCGGATTTTCACCTTCCAGGAACCACCAGCGAGGGGGACGACGACTGTAGCGCCTACACTGGGCAATGATGCTACCGCCAAACCAAAGACCGTGTGTGTGTTGGGTCCAGGGTTTGGCCAGCTGAAGCCAGCTCAAGGCACAGCCTTATCCTTCCCTCGGTGCCCTGACAAGTGCCCAGAGCAGTTTCCGCCGTCACGGGCAAGACCGGCAGTGGGAAACTGGTTCCGCTCACAGAAGCCGCTCTGTCAGCAGAAGAGCGCCACTGGATTTCACCCCCGGACACTGGCCTTTTGGGGTAAGAAGGTAGGAGAGGAGCAGAGCCGCTTCACGTTCATACTGCCAGCCAAGGCACAGGTGCGCCTCCTCCCAGGTGTCACGGAATGAAGGGCCAAAACTTGTCCCTGTGCCGGAGACCCGACTGCAGGGCTCGCTCCAGCTTTCTGAGGCCACTGGGCAAGACGCCCCGAGAGGGCGGCTCTTGGCTCAAGAGGAGGGACGGCTGCTCCTCACTGTGGCCATCACCTTCCTGCTCATGCCCTCTCCCAAGAGAAGGGCCAAGGAGGAAGCTCAGCTGCCACCCTGGCTCACTTTCTGGCCCCCTCCCTGGGGCCTACGACAAAGAAGCCCCCAGGATAGGGCAGAGAGGCAGGGAGAGAATCACCCCCAGGCCCCTCATTAGACAAAAAGCCCCTCCCCAGACACTAGTAAGATCACTTTGCCCCTGTGATGCCCACAAGCATTTTGCACAGAGGCAAGACAGACAGAACAGCCGTGTTCCCATCCTTCTGTGGCTGTGAAGGGAATATTTTTTAACCCCTTGGCCAAAAGCGGAGAGAAAAAGTATAAAAGCATAAGAGTGAAAGGACTCAGGTTTGGGAGTGGGAATCCGCTGGTTTCCTCAGCTCTGCTCCCCGGTCATCCTTTCCCTCTGCCCTAAGCCCACCTCACCCCACATATTTATGCAGGGGGCCGGCAGGAAGCGAGTCCAAGGGTGACTGTGGGGCAGGCTCGTGCGCTTGCCGCCGCCACAGGCTCACTATGCATGTGCAGTTGTGCTTCCTTGTGTGTGACCGGAATACTTTGCACAAAGACACCACAATCGTCTGCCGCTGTGGCCTCGGCTCAGCTTGCTTCCTGGCCAGGCTCAAGCGGAAAGAGACCTGGCCGGCCCAAGAGAGCCGACCCCGACCTGAACCGCACGGCCCTGCGAGATGCCAGAGCCAAGCCCGGAGACTTCTGCACCGTAAAAGCTTCCGTGAGCTCGTCTAACCCCTTTCTGTAATGCTGAGAGCTAGGGGCATGTGCAGAGTGTTTTCAGCCTTGAGGGCCATTCGTAGTGCAAGATGGGAGGCATGTGCACAGTGCAAACACAAACATGAACACACACACACACTGCCTGTGTCCCATGGGATATCATTATTTAACGGTGATTTCAGCCTTTGAGGAATGCTTGCCAGTTTCACTTTTTGCTGGATTAAGACGTTTCATACGAACGGCCCTCGCCCAGGCCTCCTCCAGTTTTTACCATAAAGTCTTTGAGATTCACCCTTCAGCAAAGTCGGCAATCTCTTTTCAAGATATCACGACCCCGGGGCAATTCATTTTTGCCATCCCATCTAACTTCTGGACCACGGGGCACTTTCCCAGACTGCTGCAGCTTTTAGAATAACCGTTCCCATCAGGCAGCCCAACCAGGCAAAATAATTTTCTGTTCCCAAGCCAGTTAACACCACCCATTTCATCAATCCAGTCCTAGACTTTTCTCTGACTTAACTGCAGTGAGCCCTGCCAGCAGCGGCCGAGACTTGGCTGCGTCAGAAAGGGCCATGGAGTCACGACTCTGCCGGGGCTTCCCAGGAAGCCTCGCAGAGAACTGCACTCACAGGACCCCATGGCCTGTGCTGTGCACATCCCACCCTGGAAATGGGAAAACGCCGCAGCAGTTGCAAGCTACGTGGCCATTCCTGCCAGCTGCAAAGAGATGGGGAGATGCAGAGAGTGACTCTGTGCGCATGAGAGGCACTGGCAGCATTTTGGCCCCTTCCCTCCTGCTGTTGCTTTGGAAGCCCTGCCTGGATATCTGGGGGGACGGGGCCACCTGCACCACCTGAGAGCCACCCTGCTCTTCAAATGCCAAGCTCCTTTGTCAGTTGCCTGAACAGAACAGGATGTGGCATGCTAAGCACAAGACCTGGATGTGCGGCCTGTTACCTGGTGGCGCTTCACAATGTCCTTTAGCTTATTGGCCAACTTCAGCTCAATGTCTGGAATGAGGTAGATGGTTGGTCGGCTCAGACAGTTATTCTGCAACAGAAAAGTAAAGAATCAGATGCAAGAAGCCAGTGAGTCAGTGACAGAAGGGCAGGTCGCCCTGGCGTGGCAGGACCGGTCGTGTGGACATAAAGTCTTGTCCGCCATGGGGCCTTTTCTTTATTAACATTTTACTGGCCTTCCAACCAGTAAAACAGTGTTCGAGACAGCTACCCGTAAAAGCCATCATTTAAAATAACAACATAATTAAAATCTTACAAGGATGATTTGGACTCTGGAAGGCTGATTCACACGAAGCAGGAATGCAGTGTGGCAAGCACTGCATCAGATCAAAGCTGAGCAGGTCAGTGCCGTGTTTCCCACAGATGTCCAGGGGAACTAAGTCCCTAAGTGGAAAGTGCAGGCCGCAGCCCTCTCCCACACTGCTCCCCGGCATCGGGGACTGACCGCGTGAGCAAAGCCATCTCCTGCAAGATTAGAAGCCCATGATCCCTACAACCAGAGCGGGAGTATTATCTGCTACTTCAGCAAATGTGGGATTAAATGTATCACTTATCAAAAGCAACCTATATGATGGCTGCTTTGCAAATGACAATTACTTTCACACACCCATGATCTGTATTTCTCAAATGTCGTCCCCCAGTAATACCGTGGTAAGCCAAGGTTTAGCCCATGTGTGTGCCTGAAATGAATCTTTGGGTCCTAGCCAATATATCTCATAGGGCCAATTTCTGATAGACGTGTCTGCAAGCTTTCAGATTACAGAAGCTCTGCCAAAGCAAAAGGTAGCTGCATCCCAGGGATGTATACAAAGCAAAAGTTAGGTAACAAGCGGAAAGCTGCAGCCTGTTAGCAGAATAGGGCACCCGATCAAGTATATCATTTCAGAGCTCGGTAAGTTTAACACTAAATTATCAATAAACAAAGCAAAAGTGAATTATTTTGTCAGTGTTGATTGCTTTGTATATCCAAGTCTCCTCAATGGTATATTTTGAAGAGCAACTTCAACAGGTTGACTTAGTATTTCTCTCCCCAATTCTGGTGGCTATGAAGATAGTAACTTTAAAAGGGTGTGTTACAAGGGTGAAAAACATACTCCTTTCAAGGGATGCTTGCACAAGCGTTGTGAGTCTTGTGCCAGTCACATTCACAATAAGCCTTAAATCCTGAAAAATTTCACACCAAAGACAACAGAAAACCCAAAATCATGCAGAACATCAGAAGAGAACTCTTGCCTGCACTAATGCTTTTTCAATGTTCATGAACATTTCCACGTTTCGATCCATCCGGGAAGGGTTCTGCAAGTCAAACCGGCGCCTGCAATAAAATGTTTGTTCAGTACGTGGAACAGCAAAGACATATTACATGTTCTGGTTACAGCTCAGCACAACCTCTTGTGGAATTAGCTGCTTAGTCGTTATACAGCAACACGGCAGAACAGGAGGCCACAACATTCCTGCCAATCCGATAAGGCCACACAGTTTCCCCATCCAAAGGCAAGCGGCAAGTTAGGCCAGGGAGCAAAGGGGGTGGTCTGCCAAGAGACCCTGCACCTGCCACAGCAAGAGCGCCTCTCGAGTGTCCAGCTCCCTTCTGTCACGGAGACAAGGCAAGCCGATCAAATGAAACCTGGCACGAGAGTGGCCCAGCAGCCAGGGTGGAAGGACAGCCCCTCCCGAGCAGGGCCACGCTCCGGTTCCCATCTCGGGTGCCCTTCTCAGAAGCACAGGCCTCGGTGGCAGCCCCCAGCTCACCCGCTGCACCTCTTCCTGCGAAATGCACCGGCCGCCTCTGGGTGGCCTGGCCGCCTGCACGAGCACTCTTGGTGGCGATGCGCAACAGAGCGGGCGTTCTCGATGGCGGCACTCCATGGACGGGAATCCCTGCCTCGTGAGAGCAGGTCGCTCTCTCTTTTATATGTATTCTACTAGGAAGCAAAGACATCTCTTTTCCAGCAATCATGTGACTTGCTGATCAGTTGCTTATCCCTTTTTAATGTTTTTGTGTTTACTGCTGCTCTCAGCTTTTCATTGGTATTGCTCTGCTCTTGTCCATGCGGAGTTGAGTGACTCCCTTTTTTGACAGAGCAAAGCAGTGTGATTTCAAATAAAGAAATAAAAACTTTTGTCTAAGTCCAATACATCCGGAGGGCACTGAGTTGGGGAAGGCTGGTTTTCTCCATATGGAAACTTCGGACTATAACTCCCATCATTCCCAGCATGACTGCAAATTCATTCTCTCTTGGATCTCTAAACCCAGCAGAGAGGGTACGCGACTCACACACCCAGGGGTGGGCCTGGGAATTCTATGGGAAAGAGCAAAGAGAGAAAGAAAAGGACTCACCAGCCTTGGTCACTTTTATACTTATAAGCAGCTCCAAGAATGTGGCACAGCGTTCCTCCAGCTTTGAAATCCATGAAGCACTTTGCCTAGAACAGAGGAAGGCCCAAGGTGACATCCGCACGCTGGAAGAAAACTGGAAGAAAGCAGCCGCATCGCGCAGCACGAGCAGTAGCCCAAGCAAGTGCAGAAAATCGCCACACTCCCCATGTTCCCAGGCCAAGCCTGAAATGGTACGTAAGCCTCTCTTCCTGTCCCATACAAGATACTTTCAGGATCCTGCACACGAGCACAGCCATTGCATATGGCTTTTATGCTTACGCCTCCATGGGAATCGGAAGCAAAGCCAATTCGGAGACAGAAAGCATGGCTCAAAAAGCTTGGCAAGCACAGCGTTTGAGAATCTGCAGCAGACCAGAGCTGCAGCGAAGGCTTCTCAGGGGCACAGAGAAGCAACTCCCAAGGAGAATGGGAAGAGTTACTTATTTAACTTTAAGGAAGTCTTCTTAACAGGGCCAGAAAGTTCTACCTCCATCACCAGTTTTGGAAGAGAAAACAGAAACCCAGCAGCTCACTCTGTTCCGTTGACTGTTTTCCTGCCTTTCTTTATATGAAAACCTATGTGGCCTTCTTGTAACATGAGACGTCCAGAGCAGGGAAACTGGATCCTGCCTTCATTCTCTCAATCCCCTAAAGAGGCGGCTCAACCCACAAGGAGCTACTGATGTGAATCGGCACAAAAAGAGCAACGGTCCGCAACGACTGGACAGCACCGACATCCGCCTTGCTTATAACTGCCCTATCCCTTACATCAGCTGAAAGGAAAAGGTACGATTTCTCAGCTTGCCTCAAAGCAAGCTATACACCCTGGGGAAATCCTATTGCATCTTCAGGGCAGACGGATGTAATTCATAAAAAACATTAAAGCTATCATTTTGTCATTGATTTAAATCAAGTTTGCCATTATAAGGATCGTAGGAGCTCCTAAACCAGGGGTCTCAAACTCACCTTACCTGGGGGCAGTCTGGGTGAGGCTGGGCCGCATCAAGCATTCCACCGCGAGTTTGAGACCCCTGTCCTAAACAAATCTGCTATCCACTGGTTATTCTGGTAACAGAAAAATGTAAGTTTGCAAACTCCAGCTTGGTCATGAGGTCCCAGGGGCCTTCTGGACTGCAGCATTTTGGGGTTTTGCTATCTCTGCACACAAGCCAGGACCCATGGCTTCAGCAGCAACACAGAAAGCTCCTCACAGTCAGTCAGGCCACTGTCCGTCTTGCACAGTGACGTGGGCACCGGCTGACCGCAGCTCCAGGATTTCCATCCCAAGCCTCTCCCACCCACCCCTGCAGATGCCGAGGTCTTCGGCACACCTGGCACATGCTGTTCCTCAGAGCGAGAACCCTCTCCAGAAGGGCAACTGAGAACAGTGGCAGATTAGAGCTGGTAAGAAATCTAGAAAGCTGCTCAATACCAGGCAGTCAGACAGAGTTATGCAGCCGGGTGGGCAAGCAGAGCTTGCTCCTGGGTAAGCCCTCCCAATTGTCTAGAAGCAAGGGCTGCAAATGACTCGGCAAGAGTACTTCTGAATGAGAAGGAAATCTTCTATGTCGAAAAAAGAGTTCATGCAGCTGGAAGGCATGGAAAGTGCCCGCAAGGTCATCCACGGGGGCTCCTGCTGAGAAACGAGGTGCCATTTCCTTGAACCAAGGGCCTGTAATGACAGCCTCCCTGTCCTTTGGCCTACAGGAAAGTCTACAGTAATTACTATAATACAGTACTGAGTGTCATTTGCTCTTAATTGGAAAGATCAGATAATTTCCCTATGGTCCTTGGTTGAATACCAAACACAGATTTAGCTTACGCGTGTCTGAAAGATGTGCGTGACTTTTATGGCAATATAAATGCAGGCACTGATCTATCTGCACTGATTCAGACTCTTGCTTAACTAGGATTTAAATAAACAGCAGAACAAAATACCGAAAGGAATAAGGCAAAACCCCAAAAACAAAGCCCCAAAAGAAAGCCATAAAAAGACAAAGCACCACAAACTGAAGGGCCACCTACACGAAGTGGCATTCACAAGCCTTCGGAAGCCTAAACGCAGGAGATGAGGCCATGGAAGGGAGTCCCAGACCGTGGGAGCAGCAGCCGAGGAAGCCGTCCTGCATATCCATCAGCCCACCTGACTCCAAGGGGAAAGCAGGAAAATAAATCCTGCCAAGCCTGCCCCACAGGGGACCCTTCAACTGTGAAGGGTGGAATGCAGCTGCCTTCCTAAAAGGGCCGGAGAACCTGAGGCAGGGTCGCCTGGCAGCCGGAAACACGAGAACCCGGCCAGTTACAGGGCTGCTCCGTGTCAGTGACAGGAATACGTTTCGAAAACTCCCGCGATTGCCTGGCTGCACTGACTGCCGGGATGCTTCGGCTCGTGATGCGGGCAGGCCCCCTCACTCCCACGTGGGGTGGACCCAGTGCATGCGCTGCTTGACTGCCACGGTTCCTTCTCCCCACCGCCCCTTCGGATGTCTCTGGGTAAAGGCCTGCTCTGAGTATTTCCTTGATCTACATGGGTGTGTTGGGGGATTTTATTGAACCAGGATGGCAAAACTGAGCCAAGGCTGGACTTGTCCTTCCAACTCGTGCCTCCAAACCCCTTGTCTGTTGGGATGTCTGGATGCGTTTCGCCACTCCAGCTGCGGGCGGCTCCTCCGCAAGCAGCTGCAGAGCCGTCCGCTCAGGACCGGGCAAGCGCAGCGGCGGATGGAGAACAGCCGGAACATTTCGAATACTTACAGGGAATTTCGTGAAGGCAGGATTGGCGACGTGTTTCCCAAAGGCATCTTCCTGAAACTGCAGCAACTGCACCACCAGTCCAGCCAGCGTTTTGTTGGTCGGGGCATCAGCTTGGACATACTGAAAAGAAAACAAGCATTTCTTGGCTCACTTGCCGCTCTGTCTTCCCACAGTCAGTTCCTCAAGACGCCTAGCAGCTTTAATGCAATTCAACACTGCTTGGTGCCATGCAGCTGGCTTTTTAACTCCAGATTCTACTATTATGTATGTTGCCAAGTGTCAGGAAGGAGCAGCTTTACTGCCACTAGACTGAAATTTCCCAATCTCCACCGAGCTGACTTCATTGATTTAGCTTCCCGTACTTCAAATGCAAGCACTCGGGTCCTGCACACATGCGCTCCCAAAAGCAGGGCATTACCTCTGTGCTCCGCACTAAACCAAGCGCACACCGCTGGAGCCAAGCACCAAGGGCACTCCGTTTCTGTAGCGCATGCATCTTACGGACGGACGAAGATGGCAACCATTCGCCACCCAGTTTGCTTTGAGTACTCTGTGGATTTAGAACGCAACTGTCTGTGCCAACAGCAGCACTGCACCAAGATGCGCGTCGCACGAGTGAACTCATCCTTCAAATCCCCTCATGGGGCGGCTGGCCCCATGCCTGACCGTCCCAACCTCTGCACCCTTATCAGAACAAAGCCCTGTGCAACTGCATTCGCTCGCGACCGCTTCCCCTTTCATCTTACTGCAGCCACATGTTGCGATTCTGACCTGTTTCACCCCGGAACTCAGGTGCTCGAACTGGTTTGCTGCTCTGTGGGGCAGCCTCCCCCACTACGTGCCCCCCAGATGTTCCTTCAGCCCCCTCCAACAAGGCATGTGGACTGGGAATGGAGGCAGCTGCCAGCCAGCACATCTGGAGGGCAATTCCCAAGCAGGGGAGGCGTCTGGACACTATGAAGTATCCTGATGGCCCCGTAAAACGAATACTATTCGACGAGAATCTGAGCTCATTTTGAACGACTTGATAACCAGACACTGCTTTCCCCCTCCCTGCCGTAAGTTCTTTGGGAGGCACGCAAGACTAAAAGGCGGGCGGCAGCTTCAAATCAGACACCGCACAGAGCTGCAGGAGCAGATTCTCACGTGGCTTTCGAGTATCTCCGGCATCCAGGGCCCATCTCTAACTTTAGTGGACCTGTTCTTTGAACCGTTAAGACATTTAAAATATTTATATCCCATCTCTGTGCCTGAGAATGGGCCCCCCAGCAGCTTACAATATTAATGAGCAAACAGCATAGAAGATCAACCGACCGTGGTTTAGCATTGCCAGAAAAAGATCTATGCTCCATCAACTGCTCTTCAAAGGCTGCACGGTGGCCCCCAGGGGAAAGGCCTCCCGTGCAGAAAGCAGAGATCTTGCAACCAGGACTACAGAGCCTTGAGAATGGGCACCTTTCTCTGGGCAACTGTCTAGTTTTCGACTCGCCCCTTCTGGCCAACAGCCTAGGGACAATGAGGTCAGCTGGGCTCTCCACACATCTCAGGCATAGCTAGAATTAAATTCTCCAGGGGAGTTAATAGCTAAGCTTGCCCAAAAAGCAGTATAATAAACTTACCAAAAGTTTGTAGTTGACAAAAAGAACACAGAAAGAATGATGAGCCCCATAGCAAAACAACAATGCTGAGAACTTTTCCTGTAGTTTCTCGTGAAGTCAAATAACTCTTTCACAGTGTGCCACCAAGACACTCTCCATACAAAGGGAACCTGCCTTTCTTCAACGTTCCCTGCCAATTCGAGCCTTTGATGCAGAGAAAAAGATCCTAAATCACTCCTGTCACTATTGGGGCCCCCTGTGAGGGTTTACTTGTCCCAGCCGGAAAAGCTGATGCAAAGTCTTAATGACGAGAAAGCAGAATTCCTAAAGCTCTGCAAAGACACACGCCTCAGTGTGCGTTACACGGTCGGATTTTCTGCAGAATCTTAAAAGCCTTGAGTCAGAATTTAATTGTGCAATCATGGCTGATATGAATGTATCTGAACTGGTACTTCCACCGTAACACAGTCATTGCCTGCACAAGCAGCATGTGGTAGCTTGGCAAAGTCAGCCTGGGGAAGCCGAAGGAAACACTGCTTCGCTTGTGTGCGATGCTTTCCACCTCCCTCTGCTTCCCCCACCCCTGCCCAATCGGCAGTCTCTTCGGGTGGCGAAGGAGAGGCATCAGAAACCCCAGCTGCCCCCCCATAAGCAACCTGTTCTCTGCCTTCTTTTTTGCTGACATAGTCACAGAATGAATCTTGGCTCTGGCAGAGGTTTTGTACATCCGTCTACCAAAGGAATGACTCCCCCGCCTCACAGATCACCCCAGCAAGTGGAAGGCTAATCTGGCCCCATCGCTCTGCGCCCTCAGCCGTCCCTTTTGCACGGTGTCTATTGCACCGAGAGCCTCTCTTTTAGCATCTGTACTGTGCATTTTCGGTGTCTTATGCGTGTGGAACAACTGCACCGTTTCCTTCTCTTCCTGCTATCACCACTGCCCCGTGACGGGGGCTGGGTCAAGAGCCAGGATCCTGCCCACACTTCAATGCTGCGGGGAAAAATGAGCTCTGCATTCTGCCATTCCAGGCCCCAGCTCTGCTGAAACCGACAGCCTGGTCATTCCACAACATGCTCTACCGTGCACTCCTCAACCTTTGGGAACTTCAGCTGGGCCCTGCCAGGTCCTGCCACCACTGGCCACCAGCTGCTGCTGACCTCCCGATTCTCATTAGAGGTGGCCAGTATGGCCAATATTCAGGGATGGAAACACCTGCAGCCCAGTCCCATGCAAGGGGGTGTTTAAACATTATTTCAAAGCATTTCAAGGGGCCACAAAGAGGTCTATTTACACCAGAACCTCATGCCCCCTTCTCTTCTTGAGCTTCCAGCCCTACCTGGATGACAGTGAGGCCTGCCGGGGGCCATCTTTGGTTCACTATGAAAAGCCCATCACTAAAGTCCACATGGAAACCCTCACAGCACACAGTACGGTTAAGGAGAAATCACAACTGTGTAAAGCGCTGGGTTTTCAGGTTGCTAAATTTGAGGGAGAACAGTTAAAACTGACACAAGACTGCCAACGGGCCTCCATAAAGTGTTCTAAGAATGTTTTCATTAATTTTATTGATTCAGTTTCAGTATTTCCACTCTGCTCCACATGCGACCACATTCTGGAGTGGGAAGCAGTATATGGCTAAAACGAAAGAATAAAAACAATGCATTGCAAACGCCCCAGCAGCTTCCTACTCAGTAGCCACGGGGGCAGGACGGTAGCCTGGCTGGACAGCAGGGGCTCAAGGAACAGTCACCCACCACCGCTTCCTGGAACGGCCTGTGCAGGTAAGACTGGGATCGCTGTAACAAGCCGAGAAGGACTGCGTGGTCAGGGGTATCGAAAGCCAAAGAGAGGTCAAGCAGAATTGACAGGGCTGCGCTCCCCCATCCCTCCTAGCAGAGGGCAACCGAGGCCGAGTCGGTCTTCAAACCCACACTGAAATGTGTCTTGATAACCAGTATCCTCCACACAACACTTTTAATTACCTTTCCTGAAAATGCGGGATTTGCAACTGGACAGTAATTGTCAAAACCATTTTGGCCCAGATGATTATTATTTTTTTTAAGGAGCGGCTGCACTACAGCTTCCTTGAGGAAAACCACCCAGGACTTGATTTAGCTGTAATTCAGGATTCTGACCACATATTGCTTACAGCTACCATTGACCACTCTCTATGTAGTGCAATCCAGAACAGCCTGGATTTCAACCTGGTTACAGGACCAAATTAGCCTAGATTACCTGGATAGTCCTATCACTTCCTGGCAAACAGATGGGGAAGACATTGAGGTTGTGACAGATTTTATTTTCCTGGGCTCCAAGATCACCGCAGACGGGGACTGCAGCCAAGAAATTAAAAGACGCTTGCTCCTGGGGAGGAAAGCTATGGCAAATCTAGCCAGCATACTAAAAAGCAGAGACATCACCCTGCCAACAAAAGTGTGTATAGCCAAGGCTATGGTTTTCCCAGTTGCAATGTATGGCTGTGAGAGTTGGACCATAAGGAAGGCTGAGCGCCAAAGGATTGAGGCCTTCGAATTGTGGTGCTGGAGGAGACGCCTGCGAGTCCCTTGGACCGCAAGGCGATCAAACCGGTCAGCCCTAGAGGAGATCAACCCCGACTGCTCTTTAGAAGGATACATATTGAAAATGCTCAAACCCTGCTAATTTTGCACACACCCCCAACACCTCTCAGCCATGGTATTCTCCAGGCGGGGCACAGGGGACACTGTGTGCCACTGGTCCCGGTCTTCCCTGCAGGGTTGATTTCAGAGGGTAAGAGTGGGCGACTCTTTCTTGGCTTCCTGGCAACTGAACTGCGCTGCTCTGGAGGGTGCCACCCTGGCCCCAGCGGTGCCCAACGTTTATATGACGCTGATGAGCGAGATCATTAGATCTGGATGACACACAGCTCTCCTTCTCTATGACAAAAGTGCTGGATCAGAGGCTAGACTCAGTGATGGGCCGGATGAGGGCCAAGGCACTGAAGACGAGTCCTGGCAAGACAGAACCTCTGTGGGCAAGCAGTTTCTGAGCTGGGGAGACAGGCTCATTGTCCGTCCTCTGGCCTCACCCAGGGAGGGGCAGCTTGGGCGCAGCACTACAGGAATGAGGGGCAGGTCTGGACTACCACAATGACCGGCATGGGGGCGGCCCTTAAGGCTGGATGGAGCCGGTTTAGCAAGCGACTCCTTTGCTGAGGGATCTGCACCAGCTGTCAGCTTGCTATCAGGCCATGTTTAACATTTTGGAACTATCTATCCACTTAGCATCCAGACACTTGAGAGAGTGCTTGCCAACCTGGCTGAACAAGGTGAGATCACCTGCCCAAGGCGGGGACTCCCTTTCCAAGCAATCCCCTGCCTCTGCTCAGCACTGTTTCCGTCACCTCCTTGAAATACCTGTAGTTCAAAAACCTTCCTTCATTACTAGGCCACAGTTCCTACTGCTATTAAGTTTTTTAAAACAAAACACTGTATACATGTTGTTCACCACTCCGATATCTTTTCAGATGTGAAGCAGTAAATGAATGTTGTACAGAAACAAATACCTCCTCCCATGTCCAAACACAACACAGCAAGGTCTCCAGCTCCGTCAGCCCAGTAGCACCTCCTTTGCTCCCTGAAAGGGAGAGCGGCACAGCTGGGGCCCTCTCCAACCTCTCAGTGGACAGATTTTACCAATTTCGAGGTAACACATTTCTGAATCAAGTTGCGTACCTGCATAGCCTAAGGATTCAATCTTACGCATGAACCACTATGCTTGATTAGGGAAACGGTAGGGCTTTTTCTATCTAAAAATACACAGGAGTGGCCACATCATCTAGCCAGTTATTACACCTCTTGGCACCAAATCTCTTCCTCTCTTTTTTTAAAAATACAGCATGCATTTGGCCAGGACCGGAAGGATGCACTTTCTCAAAAAGCAGACAATTGACTACAGTCTTCTACATTTCAATTGTTAAAGTAAGTAGATTTTAAGAGAGACAAGTTAAATTTCTTTATTATGGAGAGGACTGCAACAATACCAGCACTGATGTGATGAAAGAGAATGCCTTTTCCAAACCTTACTCAAGGGGGAAAGTATTTTTAAAAGCATCACACATGCAAACATGAATTGAGATATCTGTGAGCATTTGAAAATGGAGAAGAGACAGAAAAATCCGTTTTGCCAGAATTAAATGCTATTTTCTGCAAGGCAGCAAACACAGATATGAATTTAAAAACTTGACTGCGATTTTTTGTATCTATCATGGAATATTCTTAAAAGGACCCAAATGCAGCTTGTTAGTTTTTAATACTTGGAAAGACCAATATGAAAAACCGCAAGCCTCCACAATTCAGATGAACAGTTCCTCACATCAGAGACTCCTACCCTGTTTCCATGTTGTGCTGAGCCTACTTGAATATTCACACGCCCAGCCATTGTCTAAGAAAGCCCTTTGCCTCCAAAAGAAAAAGATCGTGCCCAGTTACCACCGGGGCAAAAGGTATTTCGGGAACACACCAAGGGTAACGTTCAGCCAAGCGCTGCCCCCCGAAAGCCGGAAAGCAGCTCCAGGAACAAAGCAAGCGAGGCAGGAGCCGCAGCCTGCAAATCCCCTGGCAGGAGCTGCGAGGAGCGTTTCCCTCTCACGTCTGAGAGTTTGCCCGTCCAGCGCCCGAGCAGCAACCGAGTTCGCAGTGCTGCTGGGATCCCGTTTGCGGCGGCCTAACGGAGAGGAAGGCGGCCGGCGAGCCGGTTCCCGGGCCACGAGCGACCCGCGAGCTCCCGGGGCGGCACCTGCCCCCGCGCCCGGTCCAGGGAGCCGAGGCGCCCCGCGGAGCGCGCACCTTCTCCCGGCCCGGCCCGGCCGGCGGCGGGGAGGGCAGGTGGCCCATTGTGCGGCGGACTGGAACA